TTGGAACTTTATATTCAGCCTGTGGTTTGGCTGGGCGAGGTGGCTCACGCCTGTAATGCCAGCACTTTGGGAGGCTGAGGTGGGCGGATCACCTGAGGTCAGCAATTCCAGACCAGACTGGCCAACATGTTGAAACCCCGTCTCTACTAAAAATACAAAAATTAGGGTATGGTGGTGCTCGCCTGTAATCCCAGCTACTGGGGAGGCTGAGACCAGAGAACTGCTTGAACCCGGGAGACAGAGGTGGCAGTGAGTGGGGACCGTGAGCCACTACACTCCAGCCTGGGCAACAGAGTGAACGTCATCTCAAAAATAAGAATAAACAGGCCGGGCGCGGTGGCTCAAGCCTGTAATCCCAGCACTTTGGGAGGCCGAGGCGGGTGGATCACGAGGTCGAGAGATCGAGACCATCCTGGTCAACACGGTGAAACCCCGTCTCTACTAAAAATACAAAAAATTAGCTGTGCATGGTGGCGCGTGCCTGTAATCCCAGCTACTCAGGAGGCTGAGGCAGGAGAATTGCCTGAACCCAGGAGGCAGAGGTTGTGGTGAGCCGAGATCGCGCCATTGCACTCCAGCCTGGGTAACAAGAGTGAAACTCCGTCTCAAAAAAAAAAAAAAAAAAAAAAAAGAATAAACAAAATAAGTCTGTGGTTTTAAGCTTCCTCCATCTAATAGCCAAGGACTTAAGTGTGTGTAGAATTAATATACAAATATATTTATGTATTATTTTGTTATGTAATATATTTATATATTACATATTAGTATATACTATATAATGTGTATTACATTAATATATTAATATGTATTATATATGTAAGATAATATGTAATATATTACATATTATATATTACAGTACACAAAACGTATATTATATATTGAAAATCTGTATTAACAAATAATATAAGTTAATATGTATAAGTAATATACTATAAATAATATACATATATTAATATATTTATATGAATAATATATATTTAATGTTTATAGTTAGTATAAATCCTATTACATATTATGATATGTATTGAATATTATATACATTAAATATTGTTTTTTCTTTAGTGACAGCGTCTTGCTCTGTCCCCCAGGCTGGCATGCAGTGGCACCATCATGGCTCACTGCAGCCTCACACTCCTGGACTCAATTCTCCCGCCTCAGATTCCTGAGTAGCTGAGAGTACAGGCACGTGCCACCAAACCCAGCCAACTTTTAAAATGTTTAAAACAGAGAGTCTTGCTATGTTGTCCAGGCTAGTCTTGAACACCTGGCCTCAAGTGATCCTCCCACTTCAGCCTCCCAAAGTGCTGGGATTACAGGTGTGAGCCACAGCACCCAGCCAAGGGTCTATGCTTTATTGTTTTTTTGGTTCTAAGACTCTGTTCTCAGGTTCTGCCTAACAGTTAGTTTAGGATTCTCAGATTCTGTGTTTCAGGAACTCCAAAGGCTGGGGTGCAAAGGTTTCCACGTCTCGGATTCTCTGATCAAATGTGTTGCTTTTCGGCTGGGGTAGCTCATGCTACTCCTAGCACTTTGGAAGGCTGAGGCTAGAGGATCGCTTGAGGCCAGGATTTTGAGACCAGCCTGGGCAAAATAGCAAGACCCTGTCTCTGCAGTCTTGCTCTGTCACCAGGCTAGAGTGCAGTGGCACTATCTCGGCTCACTGCAACCTCCGCCTCCCGGATTGAAGCAATTTGCCTGCCTCAGCCTCCTGAGTAGCTGAGACTACAAGCGTGTGCCACCACGCCTGCCTAATTTTTTGTATTTTAGTAGAGACGGAGTTTCACTGTGTTGGCCAGGCTGGTCTTGGACCCCTGACCTCGTGTTCCACCTGCCTCGGCCTCCCAAAGTGCTGGGATTACAGGTGTGAGCCACAACAGCTCTAATTTCAAAAAAAAAAAAAAAAAAAAGTTCTCTTCAGTTCGATGAGTTTAAGAATCCAGACTTCTTTTCTGTGGTTCTAGGCTCTTGAGCGGCATTGATTGACTTCTGTGGCTGGAAGTAGGACTGGCATTGAGAGAGCAAAGCCACTGGAGCCAGGCAGGGCGTGCACGGCTGGCCCATTCTGCTCAGCAGTGCCTGTACAGGTCCCGTAACTAACCATGTTTATTACCAGCCCTGCTTATATGTGAAGATCTTTGTCAGGCAGGCATGATGGCAGGTGCCTATGGTACCAGCTACTGGAGAGGCTGAGGCAGGAGGATTGCTTGAGTCCAGGAGGTCAAGGCTGCAGTGAGCCACTACACTTCAGCCTGGGCAACAGAGGGAGACCCTGCCTCAAAGAAAAAAAAAATCGGCTGGGCGTGGTGGCTCATGGCTGTAATTCCAGCACTTTGGGAGGCCAAGGCGAGCGAATTACAAGGTCAGGAGTTCGAGACCAGCCTGGCCAATATGGTGAAACCCCATCCCTACTAAAAATACAAAAATTAGCCTGGTGTGGTGGCACACACCTGTAATCCCAGCTGCTTGGGATGCTAAGGCAGGAGAATTGTCTGAACCTGGGAGGCGAATGTTGCAGTGAGCCGAGATTGCACCACTGACCTCCAGCCCAAGTGACAGAGTGAGACTCCATCTCAAAAAAAAATATATGCCGGGCACGGTGGCTCAAGCCTGTAATCCCAGCACTTTGGGAGGCCGAGGCGGGTGGATCACGAGGTCGAGAGATCGAGACCATCCTGGTCAACATGGCGAAACCCCGTCTCTACTAAAAAATACAAAAATTAGCTGGGCATGGTGGCATGTGCCTGTAATCCCAGCTACTTAGGAGGCTGAGGCAGGAGAATTGCTTGAAACCAGAAGGCGGAGGTTGCGGTGAGCCGAGATCGCGCCATTGCACTCCAGCCTGGGTAACAAGAGCGAAACTCCGTCTCAAAATATATATATATATATATATATATATATATATATATATATATATATATATATATATATCTGATGCCATATTTCTGTGAGTCTTTGGGCCTGGGAGCTGCAGTTCCGTGACTAACTTTCTCGTACTCTACGGTTTGAAGTGTCCAGATGTACTGAACCTTTACCAAGTGTCTCTATACAGGTGGCCTTTGTGTCTATGGCGTATGGACAGAACTCAGAATTTCACAAAGGGGAAAGGGAGATGGAAAGAGTGAAAGTGGGAGGGGACAGGCCCCCCCAAGCCCACTGTGACCCCACTCCCTCCCTCCACAGCACCTCTCCCAAAATGCAAAGTCCCAGGTACCTTAACATCTGTGACACATTCATCCTCCAAACCCCGCAGGGTGCCGGGGGACAGAAGGGGCCCCAGCTCTCCATTCTCCAGGGCAGCTATGTCCACCAGCCCTAGGACCTCCCTGGGGGTGGGGTGAGAGACAAGGAGGTCTGTGAGAAGCGGGGCTGGGCAGTCAGACCCTTCCCCATGCCCTCCTACCCGCTGCTTGTGACCCTGGGCCACTCCCTTCCTCTCTCTAAGTCAGCTCTGCTCATCCCTCAAAGGAAGTCTTTGGAATTGTTGCTCCCCCGGCTCCAGCTCTCTGAGTCAGCTCCCTGATGGATGGTGTCCGGACATGATATTTAGGGGTCAAGTCCAAGCTTGAAGATCTGACACGCAAGGCTCCGCCCATGATCGGTTTCACAAGGCAGAAGCTCCCTTGCACCTCTACTCCGAGGTGCTGCTGCCTTACCTGGCCTTGGAGGCTTTCCCAGTCCAGCCCTCACTCCCCGCCTTCCACTGGCTTACATGCCTGGAGCTATGTGATATCATCAGTATCCACCCCCACACACCCCAGACTTGGGCTCTTGGCATCCTCTCAATTGTAAACACCATCTCTCTACAAATTGGACCAAACTCAGTTCCCACCACTTCAGGAAGCTTTCCGGACTCCCTGTCCTGCCTCCATTCCTGACAGATAACCTGAGAGTGTGATCGACATCCATTCCCGAATGAGAGCTATGTGGCTGATGGAGGTATCTGCTGCCTCCCCAGTCTTCTGGTGACAGCATTCTGATTTTGTTACCAGAACCACCCACCCCCTTCGCTGTCCAACGTGTGGCTTGGATGTGGCTAACTCCCTTTTCTTGGGGTAGACAGGTGATCTGGGGGTAGCTAATGTCCATATTCCATCCTCTGGCCACAAGAATGGGTATGTTTTAGGACGAAAAGGCTCAACAGTAATCAGATTCCAAGACTGGGAGGGACCGTGGTATTGAGGCTCTAGTCTCGGCCCTTAAAGAATTTAAGGGGCAAACAGCACTGAAGTCCTAAAACTGGGCCTAAAGTTCTAAAACATGGTGGCTCACACCTGTAATCCCACACTTTGGGAGGCAAAGGTGGCTGGATCACTTGAGATCAGGAGTTTGAAACCAGCCTGGGCCAACATGGTAAAAACCCCCGCCTCTGCTAAAAATACAAAAAATCAGGTCAATGTGGTGGCTCACACATATAATCCCAGCACTTTGGGAGGCCGAGACAGACTGGGTCACCTGAGGTTAGGAGTTTGAGACCAGCCTGACCAGTATGGTGAAACTCCATCTCTACTAAAAATACAAACATTAGCTGGGCATAGTGGCAGGCACCTGTAATCCCAGCTACTCGGGAAGCTGAGGCAGGAGAATTGCTTGAACCTGGGAGGTGGAGGCTGCATTGAGCAGATATCATAGCACTGCACTCCAGCCTGGGTGACAGAGCAAGACTCTGTCTCAAAACAAATAAATAAAAGTCCTAAAACTGGAAGGATCAACAGCGTAGAGGTTCTAAGACCAAAAGAGGCAATGAGGTGAAGGCTTAGGATTCCAAAGTTCAGTGGTACTAACTAAGCTTCTGTAGTGGAGTCATAAATTCTAAAGTTCTAAGATTGGAAGCGTCAACAGTACTAATCCCCTAGGCTCTAAAGAGAGCAGTGTAGGATTCTAGAATTCTAAGTGTCATCATGTTAAGGTTTAAGGGTCAGTGGGGCTGTGGTTCTAAGAAGGAATGGTCAACAGTGCTAAAACTCCAGGACTGGAAGGGTGAAGATCGAAATAGCGTTAAGTGTCACGATGCCAAGATCTAGCGGGTCCACGGTGCTGAGCTACTAGAACTGAAATTGTCGATGGTGCTAACATTGTGTCATTGGAAGAGTCAGTGGTGCCAACAGGTTCTAGGTCTGAAAGGGTGGGCGTGCTAGGAATCTCAAACTGGAAGCATCAGTGTTCGTTGCTAGGAGTGTAAGTGCCCATGATGCTAAGGTTGCAGGTCTAGAAGAATGAATGGTGCTGAGATTTTAGGAGCCAACATTCTAAGACTAGAGGAATTCACGGTGCTAAGAGTGCAGGACTGGAAGGGTGGACAGTGAGGCTCTCCAGAGTGTAAGTGTTGACAGAGCGCTGAGGTTCTCGGACCACAGTGGTGCCGGACTCTTCCAGGACTGGGAGGGTCCATGGTGCTGGAACCGAGAGCCTGGGTAGCAGTAAGATTCTAGGACTGTCACTGTCAGCGGTGCTGACGACTGGATGGATGGGTCGATGGTGTTAAGGTGCTAGGACTGGTGGGTCAGCTGTCCCAAGGTCCTTAGGGTCTGAAGAGGCCAGCGCTAGGAGGTGGGGCTGGGGGTTCCACGCGATCTTGGGCAACAGAGTCCAGCTCACCTGGGGTACACCTGGTTGTGCCAATGCAGCAGCGCGTAGCGGTCGGCCAGCGGCAGCCTGCGCCGGGCAGAGGCCCCCAGCCACTCGGCCAGGGCCCCGTGGTAGCCGCGCAGGTAGACGCTGAAGGCGCCCAGGCCGGCGGGGTAGGCGGGCGCCAGGCGGCCCCGCACCACGGCCATATCCTCCAGCAGCCGCGCCCGCAGCGCCTCCAGCTGCCCCGCCAGACCCCCGGGCGCCCCGGGCGCCGCCGCCTCCAGGCGCTCCCGGGCTGCGCGCGCCACGGCCTCGGCCCAGCGGACGCGCAGCTTGCGAGCCGCCTCGGGCCCCCGACGCCCGTCGGCCGCCTCCTCCTGCACCAGCACCTGGCCCAGCTGCGCCACCGCGCCCGCCCCGGCGCCCGCGCCCGGCCCGGGGCCCGCCAGCGTCTCGCGCACCAGCGCCCACAGCTCGCGCTGCAGGGCCTCGTACAGCAGCGCCACGTCCCGCGCCCGGCGGCCCCCGCCAGCGCCCTCGGCCTTGGGAGGCCCCGGTGCGCCGCCCCCCGACGACGCCAGCTCTTCGGCCTCCAGCTCCAGGATGTGCTCGTCGGCGCGCGCGAGCTCGCGCTGCTGGATCAGGCTCAGAATCTCCAGCACTGCGGGTAAGAGAGGGGAGGCGGGAGGTCAGCGATGGGGTGGGGAGGAGGGGGTGCCAGACGCGGGGGTGAAGGTAGGGGTGCTTAGGAAGGGAAAGGAGATGAGGGAAGAGAGTTACAGAAGGCAGGAAGGTGTGGGAGCAGAGAAGGGCCTGGAGAAGAGCGAGAAAGAAGGGTGTAGGGGGAAGGATGTAGAGGAGGGGGCAGGGTGAGGGGCTCACTCACGCCCGTAATCCCAGCACTTTCGGAGGCCGAGGCCAGTGGATCATTTGAGGTCGGGAGTTCAAGACCAGCCTGGCCAACATGGCAAAACTCCATCTCTACTAAAAACACAAAAATCAGCCAAGCGTGGTGATGGGCGCCTGGAACCCCAGCTACTCGGGAGGCTGAGGCGGGAGAATCTCTCGAAGCCGGGAGGCGGAGGTTGCAGTGAGCCCAGATCGCGCCACTGCACTCCGGCCTGGGCAACATATTGAGCGAGACTCCATCTCAAAAATAAATAAGTAAAAACTTAAAAGAGAGAGAAAAGAAAAATGCATGTATCTGAGGAAGGCATCTGGGGAGGTTGGGGGACAGAGAAATGGAGGAGGGGTCGGAGGAGGTGGGAGGGTCGAGAGAGGAGCCAGGTAAGGGGGAAGAGGGATGGACGCAGCCAGTGCGAGCAGGAGGGGTAGGGTGAGGAGTTGGAGATTGGGAGAGGATATGGGACAATTGATGGGGTCTTTTTGGGGTGGGGATCGCTGTGGGGTGATCTGGCCCTCTGATGAGTTCAGACTGCCTCGAGGAAGGGGAGTTGTGGGGCTGGAAGGCCTCTGAGGCTGAAGGAGGGTCCCGACAGCCCAGGGTTACCCTCAACACCTCCACCCCCCTCCACTTCCTCCCTGGCAGAGAAACTATTTCCTGGCCAGCGCTATTTCTGCCCATCCGTTTCCAGAAGGCGGGGTTCTATTCACCCCCTCCTCACCTCCCTCCAGTGCCCTCCCAGTCCCCTGGGAGCTGCAGCCGAAATAGCCTCCGGCTAGAACCTGGAGGGCATCGGAGGACAGAAAAGGCGCTCCTGAGGTCCCCAGCCCTGGAGCAGCTCAGGCCTCAGGGCTAAGAGCAGGCAGGGTGCAGGCTCGGGGAGCAGAGATAAAGGCAGGGTTGGGGATGGTGGATGAAGATGGGGATTGGGACAGCGATGAGGATGGGGCTGGAGGTGAGGATGGAGTTAAGGTGGGGTTTGGGATGCGGGAGTTGAGGGTTAGCGTGAGGTGGGGCGGGAGTCTGGACAGAAATGGAGAAGGAAGCCGGGCGCGGTGGCTCACGCCTTGTAATCCCAGCACTTTGGGAGGCCGAGGTGGGTGGATCACGAGGTCAAGAGATCGAGACCGTCCTGGTCAACATGGTGAAACCCCGTCTCTACTAAAAATACAAAAAATTAGCTGGGCATGGTGGTGCGTGCCTGTAATCCCAGCTACTCGGGAGGCTGGGGCAGGAGAATTGCCTGAACCCAGGAGGCGGAGGTTGCGGTGAGCCGAGATCGCGCCATTGCACTCCAGCCTGGGTCACAAGAGCAAAACTCTGTCTAAAAAAAAAAAAAAAGAAAAGAAAAGAAATGGGGAAGGAGGCAAGAATGGCAGTGGGGTCTGGGTAGGGATGGGGTTGGAGACGTGGGGGAGGGGAATGTAGGCGAAAGCTGAGGGTGGAAAGGACATCAAGACTGATGTGAGTTTCAAGATGAATTGTGGAAGTGAGTTGGGCTTGAGAATAGGAACGTGGATGGAAATGAAGATGGAGGTTGGGGATGGGGGTTTAGGATTGGGACTCAGGATAGGGGTGAAGATAGATTAGGGATGAAGAGGAGGTTGAGTTTGGAGTTGGAATTGAAATGGGGGGGCAGGCTCAGTGGCTCACGACTGTAGTTCAAGCACTTTAGGAGGCTGAAGCAGGTGGATCACAAGGTCAGGAGTTCAAGACCAGCCGGTTCAAAATGGTGAAACCCTGTCTCTACTAAAAATACAGAAATTAGCTGGATGTGGTGGCAGGCCTCTGTAATCCCAGCTACTTGGGAGGCTAAGGCAGGAGAATTGCTTGAACCCGGGAGGTGGAGGTTGTAGTGAGCCGAGATCGAGCCACTGCACTCCAGCCTGAGTGACACAGAGTGAGACTCCATCTCAAAAAAAAAAGAAAAGAAAAGAAAAGAAAGAAACGGGGGCTGAGGAAGGACTAGGAACGTGAATAGGGCTGAATAAGGAGGTTGCTGACCGGGTGGGTTGGCTCATGCCTCTAATCCCAGCACTTTGGGAGGTCGAGATGGGTGAATCACTCAAGGTCAGGAGCCTGAGACCAGCCTGACCAACATGGCAAAACCCCGTCTCTGCTATAAATACAAACACAAAACCAAAAAATATTAGCCAGGCATGGTGGCACACATCTATAATTCCAGCTACTTGAGAGGTTGAGACAGGAGAATTGCTTGAACCCAGGCAGCAGAGGTTGCAGTGAGCCGAGATTGAACCATTGACTCCAGCCTGGGCGACAGACAGAGTGAGACCCCATCTCAATGGAAGAAAAAAAAAGGAGGTCGCCGGAGGGAAATGGGTGAGAGGGGCCTGAGGTTAGGGGTTAAAAGGAGACCAAAACAGTGAAAAAGGGTTGAAGGTGGACATGGGGAAGAATGGGCCAGTTGGGGGTTGCTGTGGTGTTGGACATAGACGATGACATTAGCTATGGCGTTTGGGCCGGGCGCAGTGGCTCACACCTGTAATTCCAGCACATTGGGAAGCTGAGGCAGGAGGATCGCTTGAGGCCAGGAGTTCAAGACCAACCCGAGCAACACAGTGAGACCCCATCCCTCCAAAAAATGTAAAAATTAGCTAGATGTGGTGGTGTGTGCCTGTGGTCCCAACTATTCAGGAGGCTAAAGTGGGAGGATTGCTTGAGCCCAGGAGGTCAGGGCCGCAAACAGCCATGATTGCACCCCTGCAGGCTAGCCTCCAGCCTGGGAGATAGAGTGAGACCCCGTCTCCAAAAACAGATGGCATTTTTTTTTTTTTAAGACAGAGTTTCGCTCTTGTTACCCAGGCTGGAGTGCAATGGCGCGATCTCGGCTCACCGCAACCTCCGCCTCCTGGGTTCAGGCAATTCTCCTGCCTCAGCCTCCTGAGTAGCTGGGATTATAGGCACGCGCCACCATGCCCAGCTAATTTTTTGTATTTTTAGTAGAGACGGGGTTTCACCATGTTGACCAGGTTGGTCTCGATCTCTCGACCTTGTGATCCACCCGCCTCAGCCTCCCAAAGTGCTGGGATTACAGGCTTGAGCCACCGCGCCCGGCAAACAGATGGCATTTTAAAGAAAAGGGTGGGCTGTAGGAGAAGGTTTGGGGTGTGTCTCAGACAGAGATTGAGGGTGGGGTTGGAATACATGTGGGGTGAGAACATGAAAGGCATTGCTGAGGAAGAGACTGGGGCTTGAAGTAGGAATGGGGGCTGAGGATGAAGACGGGGTGGTGTTAGGGGTTGAATTATGTCCCCCCAGAAAAAAATCATGTGAAGGCTTCACCCCAGTACATCAGAATGTCACCTGATTTTGAAAGAGGGTCTTTACTGAGGCAATCAAATTAAGATGAATTCACATGTAGACTCTAATCTGCATGTGAGTGGTGTCCTCACAAAAAGGAGAAATTGGGCCGGGTGTGGTGGCTCACGCCTGCAATCCCAGCACTTTAGGAGGCCAAGGAGGGAGGATCACTAGGTCAGGAGATCGAGACCATCCTGGCCCACATGGTGAAACCCGGTACCTACTAAAAATACAAAAATTAGCCAGGCATGTGCCTGTGATCCCAGCTACTAGGGAGGCTGAGGCATGAGACTCACTTGAACCCAAGAGGGAGAGGTTGCAGTCAGTCTAGATTGAGCCACTGCACCACTCCAGCCTGGTGACAGAGTGAGACTCTGTCTCAAAAAAAAAAAAAAAAAAAAAAAAGGAAAGAAAGAAAAAGAAATTGCTCAGGCTTACACCTGTCATCCCAGTGCTTTGGGAGGACAAAGCAGGCAGGTCACTTGAGGTCAGGAGTTTGAGGCCAGCCTGGTTAACATGGTGAAACCCTGTCTCTAAAAAATTACAAACATTAGCTAGACATGATGGCGGGTGTCTGTAATCCCAGCTACCCGGGAGGCTAAGGTGAGAGAATTGCTTAAACTGGAGAGTTTCAGTAAGCTGAGATTGCGCCATTGCACTCCAGCCTGGGCAACAAAGTGAGACTCTGTCTCAAAAAATAAAATGAAATGAAAATAAATAAATAAATAGATTGGGGATAGAGAGGAAAGGGGGGAGAGATGGGACCAAAATCAGGGATTCTTGTGGCGTTAGACGTAGGAGTGGGGCTGCAGACGGCAGGGGGAGGCGGCGGAGATTGCGGGTGAGCACCCGTGATCAGGTGGCGCTCAAGAGGAAGGTCGATGACAGCGATTAGGACGGATGTGGTAGTGGGCTGGAGCCATCATGGAGTTGGGACATGTGCGTTAGATGTGTGAATTGGAGGCTGGGGTCACAGGTGGCAGCTGGGATGGGGTTAAGTATGGAGCCTGAGACCACCAGGGCTGGGGAAGGCCATGGGCACCGGGATTCTCCCAGCACTGGGTCAGGGCCCGGACTCACCTGACAACGGCTCCTTCATCTTTGGGGGCTCCGGGACCTTTGGTGGGGGCTCTGGAGCTGCCTCCCCTGCAGGCACCACCCTCTCAGCCAGGGACGCACGCTGGGGCTTGGACCCACGCCCCAGTTTCAGGAAGGCCAGTCTCCGGGCGGCCTCCCCCGCTGATTCCTCGTCGCCATGGGCTCGGGTCCCCTGCAGCCGGGCCAGGAGGCCAAAATCTGCCGAGCTCCTTCGTAACCCTGGTACCAGCACTCGGCCCAAGAAAGAGCGGGGCTGCCCATCTCCAGGGCTGCCTGCCCGCCGGCCCGGGGCCCAGCCCAGCCGGAAGGGGGACAGGCCTGCCAGCTTCTCCAGGGTGGCCCGGCGGCGGCAAGATGCTCCATTGGGGAGGGACCCCGGCTCCCCGGCCTCCTCTTCCTCCAGCCCCGAAACTTCTTCAAAGGGGTTCCGAGAGGATCTCAGGGGCAGGGTTCCCGCCCGGGGCACCTTAGGGTCTGATACTCCTAGATTCTTCAGGATCGGCATTTTGACAGGTGGGGGGGGACCTGGGGAAGAAAACAATGACCGTGGGCGATGCTGATGGCAATGGTGGCGTGGATGACGGTGCCTCTGTGTGCCGAGCACTTTGGGGTTGGCATATCAGACGCTTGACTGAACACTTAATAACCCTCGATCTGCGCAGGCCTATGAGGTGGGGACATTTTTGGTGGTTCTTCTTTTCTTTTTTTTTTTTTTTTTGAGACGCCGTTTTGCCGTTGTTGCCCAGGCTGGAGTGCAATGATGTGATCTCAGCTCACTGCAGCCTCCACCTCCTAGTTCAAGCAATTCTCCTGCCTCAGCCTCTCGAGTAGCTGGGATTACAGGCGTGCACCACCACACCCGGCTAATTTTGTATTTTTAGTAGAGACGGGGTTTCGCCGTGTTGGTCAGGCTGGTCTCAAACTTCCGACCTTAGGTGATCTACCCGCCTCAGCCTCCCGAAGTGCTGGGATTACAGGCATGAGCCACCATGCCCAGCCTGTTGTTTTTATTTCTTGAGACAGGATCTCACTCTGTTGCCTAGGCTGGAGTGCAGTGGTGTGATCACAGCTCACTGCAGCCTCCACCTCCTGGATTTAAGCAATCCTCCCATCTCAGCCTCCTGAGTATCGGGGATTACAGGCACAGGACACTACACCCTGGCTAATTTTTCATATCTTTAGTAGAGACAGAGGTCTTTCTATGTTGTCCAGGCTGATCTCGAACTCCTGGACTCAAGTGATCTGCCTGCCTCAGCCTCCCAAAGTGCTGGCATTACAGACGTGAGCCACGGCACCCGGCCATGGTGGGGATTTTCATTGTCCTCATTTTGATGAGGAAATCAAGGCTCAGAAAGGCGAAGGCATCTGCCTAACATCCCACAGTGATTCAGGAACAGAGTCAGGATTTGCACTCAGACCTGTCTGATTCCAGTGCCTGGGTGCCTCCCCTGCACATTCAGAACCTTTCCCTGCTCCAACCCTGCCCTGTCCCTAAAGAGCAATGTTCATGATCTGGAATATACATATATATTTTTTGAAATGGAGTCTCACTCTATCACCCAGGCTGGCAAGATCTTGGCTCACTGCAACCTCCGCTCCCAGGTTCAAGCAATTCTCCTGCCTCAGCCTCCGGAGTAGTTAGGACTACAGGCGTGTACCACCACACTCGGCTAAGTGTTGTATTTTTAGTAGAGATGAGGTCTCACTGTGTTGGCTAGGCTGGTCTCGAACTCCTGACCTCAGGTGATCTTCCCAAAGTGCTGGGATTACAAGCATGAGCCACCATGCTCTGGCAGCTGCACACCTCACTGGTGCTGTCCCATAGCCTCCTCCTTACCCCAGGAGCCTCCAGGTTTCAGCATCTCCGTAGACGCCTGTTCTCCATGCTCCTGTCAGGACTTTAGGACTCAGTGTCACTTCAGGGCACCCATGCCCCCTCCTCCAGGAAGTCCTCCCTGACCCTCAGGCTCCCACAGCCCCTGGGTTCCCACACCTCACCCCTGCTTGCTCTGGGTCATCCCTGTCTGGGGAGAGATCTGTGTCCCTCACTGGACTACCAACCCCAGGAGGACAGGGGTGGGGCTGTCTCAGTCACCACTGTGTCCCCAGCTCCCAGCACAGGGCAGACATTCAGGGAATGGGTGCTAAACAGGAAATGAAGGAAGGAAAGAGGCAAGACAGTTCCTTGGGTGGGGAGGAGGAGGGTGAGTCAAGCTGGAACAGGTCACAAGGGAGTAGGCCACAGAGGGCTTTAAACTCCTTGATAAGGGACAAGCTTTCTCCAGAGGGCACTGCAGAGCCACAGATGGGTGCTTTTTAAAGCAATGAAATACTTCAAACATTCAGAAAAGTACAGAACACAAGCTTACTGAACACTTCTGTGCCTACAATCCTAGCCACATTCTCATGCAATCATTTGCTGTCTTCGTTCAAGTTTTTATTGCTGCTTTTGTCTGTAGAGACAGGGTCTTGCTGCCGCCCAGGCTGGAGTGCAGTGGCGTGATCATGGCTCGCTGCAGCCTCAAACTCCTGGGCTCAAGCGATTCTCCCGCCTCAGCCTCCCAAGCCACAGGGACACCCTGCTAATCTTATTTTTTAATTTTTTGTGATAGACGGTGGTGTTGCTATATTGCCCGGGCTGGTCTGGAACTTCTGCTCCTGGTCTCAAGCAATCCTCCCTCCTCGGCCTCCCAAAGTGCTAGAATTATAGGCGTGAACCACCACACACTGACCTGATGTTTGTTTTAAAGAAAAAGCTGGGTGCGGTGGCTCATGCCTGTAATCCCAGCACTTTGGGAGGCTGAGGCAGGCAGATCACCTGAGGTCGAGAGTTCAAGACCAGGCTGGGAAACATGGGGAAACCCTGTCTGTACTAAAAACACAAAAATTAGCTGGGTGTGGTGGCGGGTACCTGGAGTCCTAGCTACTTGGGACGCTGAGGCGGGAGAATCGCTTCAACCCAGGAGGCAGAGGCTGCAGTGAGCCGAGATTGCACCACTGCACACCAGCCTGGGCAACAGAGCAAAACAAAACTCCATTTCAAAAAAAAAAAAAGAATGAATTACAAATACATGCAGCCTCCCGCCACGTCTCCTGGTCCCACCCACTCTGGCCCTCTCTTAAGGAATCCAGCATCCAGAATGTGCTGTCTACCTGTCCAAGTAGATTTTTATTCCATTCTCCACAGACTTGTGTCCAGAAATAATATACTGGTTTATGTGGTTTCAAACTCTCTATAAATGGTGGCATACTATATGTGTCTTGCAACTTGCTTTAGAAATTTTTTTCGGCTGGGCGAGGTGGCTCACGCCTGTAACCCCAGCACTTTGGGAAGCCAAGGCAGGTGGATCACAAGGTCAGGACATCGAAACTATTCTGGCCAACATGATGAAACCCCATCTCTACTGAAAAAATACAAAAAAATTAGCCGGGCGTGGTGGCATGCCTCTGTAGTCCCAGCAACTGGGGAGGCTGAGGCAGGGGAATGGCTTGAACCCGGGAGGCAGAGGTTTCAGTGAGCCAAGATCATGCCACTGCACTCCAGCCTGGTGACAGAGCAAGACTCCGTCTTAAAAAAATAGATTTTTTTGCTCACATTATGAAGTTGTGAGATTTATTTATCCGTGGCTAGCCATATAGCTCACTTAAGTGCCACATACTATTCCACTGCATGACCAGGACAAACTTGCGTAAAGGGTCAGATGTTCACTCGTTCATTCTCCTACTGCTGGACCCATAGTTTGTCACCAGCACAGGGGTTCTGAGCAGGTCGAGACAGGGTCAGGATTATGCAGATGTGTGAGGGTAGATAGGAGGCTTGGGAAGAAGGTGGTGGGAAAAGGCCTGGGTTCCCTGGCTGCGGGTAAGAGCGCCCCTTTTTTTTCTTGCTTTTTTTTTTTTTTTTTTTTTTTGAGATGGAGTCTCACTCTGTAGCCCAGGCTGGAGTCTGGAGTGCAGTGGAACAAACTCAGCTCGCTGCAACCTCCACCTCCCTGGTCCAGGTTCAAGCCATTCCCCTGCTTCAGCCTCCCGAGTAGCTGGGATTACAGGTATGCCCAGCTAAGTTTTGTATTTTTAGTAGAGACAGGGTTTCACCATGTTGGCCGGGCTGGTTTTGAATGCCTGACCTTGTGATCTGTCCACGTCAGCTTCCCAAAGTGCTGGGATTACAGGTGTGAGCCACCGTGTCTGGCCAAGACCACCCCTTTACATGGTGGGGAGACCCCCTTCTTACCTCCCCCATTTCAACCCCTGAGCTGCCGCTTCTCAACCCTCCTGTTCCTACAAACACTCTGGTACCTCCTTCCAGTCTCCAAGGACCCCCACCCCCAGGAGGCCGTAACCATGATAACCCCTTGCTGGAGCCCCCATGGCTGTGTGCAGTAGACACCCCCCCATGCACACACATTATTTGCACACTCATATCTCTTTTATGTTTTAGACAGTCTCACTCTGTTGCCCAGGTTGGAGCCAGTGGCGCAGTCTCGGCTCACCGCAACCTCCGCTTCCCAAGCTCAAGCAATCCTCCTACCTCAGTTTCCCAAGTAGATGGGATTACAGGTGCAAGTCACCACACCCGGCTAATTTTTGTATTAGTAGCCGGGCGCGGTGGCTCGCACTTGTAATCCTAGCACTTTGGGAGGCTGAGGTGGGTGGATCACCTGAGGTCAGGAGTTCAAGACCAGCCTGGCCATCGTAGTGAAATCCCATCTTAAAAAATAAAGAATGAAAGAAAGTAAGAAAGAAAGAAAGAAAAAGGAAGGAAGGAAGGAAGAAAGAAAGAAGAGAGAAAGAAAGAGAGAGAAAGAAAGAAAGAAAGAAAGAAAGAAAGAAGAGACAAGGTTTCACCGTGTTGCCTAGACTGGTCTCCAACTCGCGAGCTGAAGCGATCCAACCGCTTCAGCCTCCCAAAGTGCTGGGATTACAGGCATGAGCCACAGCGCCCGGCCTTGATTTCTCTTTCATCCTCCAAACTGGCATCCGCAAACCTCATCCCAGAATGGCTCCATCATCGCCCCCTCCACCCCAAAACGGTCTCCATCTTCCTCTCACAATTTCAGGTTCCAATTTCCCTCCAGTGGAAGTCAACCTTGCCCAGACACCACCTGCCATTCATTCCCCCACCTGGCTCCAATATTGCCTCGGCGCTGGATCTGACATCCCCAAACCCGGCTTCGACATTTTCCCAAAACTGGCTCCGACGTCTTTCCCCTTCCTGGCTCCGGCACCCCCCTCTGCAAAGTGGCGCTGACATCCTGCCCCTCCAACCCTCCGTCTGCCTCCCAGTGCCCAGCCCCTGACTCACTTCCGAGGCATCCCTCAAGCCCCCAGCCTCTCAGGCCCGCAGGATGTCTTGGCCACCAGAGCTTCCCTCTTTGGGCCCCTCCTCCCCTTCCTCGCTGCCAGCCTTTTCCCTAGTCACTAACCCTCTGTAGTGGCCCTGACCTCGGTTTGCAGAACCTATCACCTCCAGTGCTCAGCAGCTACATTAAAGAACTGTCTTTCTGCACGGCATGTCCCCAGCCCAACCCCAGGTGCACCCCCAATCTAGTCCTTGCCCCCAAACACAATCCCGTCATCAGCCCAGCCCACTGCGAGCTCATCCACATCTCCAATTCCAACCTGGTCTCTCCTGCTCCATCTCAGTCCTCACCGCGTTCCCATGTCCCATCTCCAAGCCCCCCTCTTTTGGGACGGAGCAAACACTTGATCCTTCCTGGCCTCAGTCTTCCTGCCCGGAATCGCAGGACATTCGACCCAATACCATCATCATCTCTCTTCTCCCTTGGTGGCACCAAGGTCTCCACTGCTCCCTGCCACCCTGTCTGGGCCTGTGAGTCCCCAGATTGTCCCCTGTACCTTCCTCCCCTTCCCGTCTCCTTTCTGCCTTCTCACCGGCACTCCCCGGGGGGCAGGCCCCAGATTCTCTCTCTGCCCCCAGCCTCTGCTGTGCTCAAGGCACAGCTTCTCATCAGCTCTGGTCCAGTGCAGCTCAGGGCACCTGTTTTCCCAGAGGGGCTCCGGGTCGGAAGGGACCGCTGCCCCCTGTCCCCAGCACACTCACCTCTGTCCTCATGCCCGTCTTTCTGTTCCTGCTGCTGTCTTGTCCCCAGGCTACTTCAGCCAGGACTGCTGAGAGCTTGGATCTGAGGAGGGGGGGCTCGGAGGAGGACAATTTCCTGTCAGGAAACCCCTCCCTCTCTGGGGCCAGGGGTGGGAAGGACTCATTATCTGTCTGCCCTTTTAGGCCAGGCTGCGGTTGGACTGGGAAGGCTGAGGCCCGCAGCTGGGCCCCCACCCTCACCCCCGCTCCAGGCCGGAATCTGCCGCCTGCCTGTTCTTCACGCCTCCCAAGGTGGCAACACCATCCTGGGCGCCCCGGGAACACACCCCTGGCTGGACACTGGCCCAGAGCTGCTCTCCAGCACTGGCAAGCCCTGAGGCCTTCGAATGAGAACTGGGGGATGGGCGCGGTGGCTCACGCCTGTAATCCCAACACCCTGGGAGGACAAGGCAGGCGGATCACAAGGTCAGGGGTTCGAGACTGAAGAACCAACATTGTAAAACCCTGCCTCTCCTAAAAACACAGGCCAGGCACAGTGGCTCACGCCTGTAATCCGAGCACTTTGGGAGGCCAAGGCAGGTAGATCACAAGGTCAGGAGTTTGAGACCAGCCTCCCCAACATGGTGAAACCCCGTCTCTACGAAAAAATACAAAAATTAGCCGGGTGTAATTGCGCCTGTAATTCCAGCTACTCGAGAGGCTGAGGCAGGAGAATCGCTTGAACCCAGGAGGTGGAGGTGGCGGTGAGCTGACATAGCACCACTGAACCTGAGCGATAGAGCGAGACTCCATCTCAAAACAAACCAAAAAACAAAAATTAGCCAGGCATGGTGGCGTGTGCCTCTAATTCCAGCTACTCAGGAGGCTGAGACAGAAGAATCGCTTGAACCCAGGAGGCAGAGGTTGTGGTGAGCCAAGATCACACCACTGCACTCCAGCCTGGGTGACAGAGCGAGACTCTGTCTCAAAGAAATACACAAGCCTGACCAACATGGTGAAAACCACGTCTCTACTAAAAATACAAAAATTAGCCGGGCATGGTGGTACGTGCCTGTAATCCCAGCTACTCGGGAGGCTGAGGCAGGAGAATCGCTTGAACCCAGGGGCGGAGGTTGCAGTGAGCCGAGATGGCGCCATTGCACTCCACCCTAGGCAACTGAGCAAGACTCTGTCTCAAAAAAAAAAAAAAAAAAAAAAAGAATGAGAACTGGGGGGCAGGCATGCATCTCTCTAGAGTTCCCAGCTATGGGCTAAAGACCAGGAGGAGGAAAGTTCTGTCTGGGGACCAGGACCTACAGAGAGAGCTGCTGGAACTGTGCTTCTCTTTGCCCAGAAGCCCCACCCCCTAGGTCTCTTCTTTTCATCCCAATTCCAGCTCCACAGTCTCTTCCTTTGTTCTCCACTGCTCCACTGTCCCGTCTCACAGAGGCGTCACTCTGATTTGTCAATTTCTTTTGCTTTTTTTTTTTTTTTTTTTTCCCAGAGACAGGGTCTCGCTCTGTCACCCAGGCTGGAGTGCAGTGGCATAATGATAGCTTCCTGCAGCCTGGATCTCCCAGGCTCAGGCGATCCTCCCACCTCAGCCTCCTGAGTAGCCAGGACTACAGGTATGTGCCACCATACCCAGCTACTTTTTGTATGATTATTTTTTTTGTAGAGATGGGAGTCTCGCTAGGTTCCTCAGGCTGGTCTTGATCTCCTGGCCTCAAGCCGTTCTCCTGCCTCAGCTTCCCAAAGTGCTGGGATTATAGGCGTGAGCCACGGTGCCCAGCCTGTCAATTTCTATATCACACCTTCCACAAATCTGAAATGATCAGATGCAGCCGCTGGCTTCCTTGCAGATCAACTCAGCAAAGCTGACTTTGTTGATCTTGTTCATCTTTATAAACCTAACTTCGTGTCCGGTCCTCAGTAGTCAAGATTCAAATGGATTTAAGTGAATGCATCGGTGAGGACAGACTGAAGCTGAGGGTTGGAGGTGGGATTGTGGATGCACTTCCCGCTAGAGTTGGAGATGCCAAGTGAAGTGAGGGCTGGGGCTGGAGCTGGTGCTGGGTGTGGCTGGGTGTGGGAATCAGGGTTTTTTTTTGTTTGTTTTGTTTGATGGAGTCTTACTCTGTTGCCCAGGCTGGAGTGCAGTATCATGATCTCAGCTTACTGCAACATCTGCCTCCCGGGTTCAACCGATTCTTCCTGCCTCAGCCTCCCAAGTAGTTGTGATTACAGGCACCTGCCACTGCACCTGGTTCATTTTTGTATTTTTAGTAGAGATGGGGTTTGACCATCTTGGCCAGGCTGGTCTTGAACTCCTGACCTTGTGATCCACCCACCTAGGCCTCCCAATATGCTGGGATTACAGGCGTAAGCCACCATGCCTGGCCATCAGGGTTACTTTTAAAGGCTAGGGCCATGTGTGGTGGCTCACACCTATGATCCCAGCACTTTCGGAGGCCAAGGCTGGGGGATTGCGTGAACCCAGGAGATCAAGACCAGACTGGTAACATAGCAAGACCCCATATCTACAAAAAAAATTTTTTTTTTAATTAGTCAGGCATGGTGGTGCACTGTCCTAGCTACTAAGGGAGCTGAGGCAGGAGGATCACTTGAGCCTGGGAGGTGGAGGCTGCAGTGAGCCATGATCCCACCCCTGGGCTCCAGCCTGGACAACAGAGAGAAACTTGTCTCAAAACTAAAAAAAAAAAAAAAAAAAAATTAATAAATAAAACCAGACTGGGTCCAGACTGGAATGCAATGGCTCGATCTCAGCTCACCGCAACCTCCACCTCCCAGGTTCAAGAGATTCTCCTGCCTCAGCCTCCCGAGTAGCTGGGACTACAGGCTTTCACCACCATGCCTGGCAAATTTTTGTATTTTTAGTAGAGACAGGGTTTCACCATGTTGGTCAGGCTGGTCTCAAACTCCTGACTTTGTGATCTGCCTGCCTTGGCCTCCCACAGCGCTGGGATTACAGGTGTGAGCCACCATGTTCAGCCTCCACCCCACCTTTTAAAAAAATATTTTTATTATTTTAATTTAGAGACGAGGTCTCACTATGTTGCCCAGGCTGGTCTCAAACTCCTGGGCTTGAGTGATACACCTGGTCTTGTCTCCCAAAGTGCTGGGATTATAGGCGTCAGCCACCGCCCCCAGACCCTTAAAAATTTTTTTTTAATTGATATACAATTCGCATACATAAAATTCACCCTTTTCAAGGAGAGTCCAGTAGGTTTTAGTATATTCACAAGACTGTAGCAAGCGTCACCACTGTCTAATTCCAAAAGATTCTCAACACCCCAAAAAGAAACCTGGTACCCATTAGCAGTGACTTCTCATTCCCCCCGCCCCCAACCCCTGGCGACCATTAATCTACTTTCTGTCTATGGATTTGCCAGTTCTAATATTTCACACGAATGGAAGCATACGATAAGTGGTCTTTTGCGTCTGATTTCTTTCGCTAAGCATGCGGTTTTCTTTTCTTTTTCTTTTCTTTTTTTTTTTTTGAGACGGAGTTTCGCCCTTGTTACCCAGGCTGGAGTGCAATGGCGCGATCTCGGCTCACCGCAACCTCCGCCTCCCGGGTTCAGGCAATTCTCCCGCCTCAGCCTCCTGAGTAGCTGGGATTACAGGCACGCGCCACCATGCCCAGCTAATTTTTTGTATTTTTAGTAGAGACGGGGTTTCACCATGTTGACCAGGATGGTCTCGATCTCTCGACCTCGTGATCCACCCGCATCGGCCTCCCAAAGTGCTGGGATTACAAGCTTGAGCCGCCGCGCCCGGCCAGCATGCGGTTTTCAAGGTTCATCCACTTTCGGCATCCTCCGCCATTGTAAGTCTCAGTTCCTCCCCGCATCTGGGAAACGGGGTGCTGACGCTGCTGGGGAAGGAGGGCAAGGGTGGACCCTGGAAATGTGTGGGGCGCGTGTAGGGAGGTGATCGGCTGCCCCCGAGTGGTGCGCGGAAGAACTGCAGCTCTCCGCGCCAGTGCGGGGAAGGGGTTGCCGGCGCTCAGCCCCTCTGGCCCACTCCCAAGACCCCCACTTTCACCCTGCAGCGTCCCTGGGATCATAGTACTTCTAGAACACAACCCTGGAACTCCTCCCTCCCTGCCACCGTCCCTGAGACTCCTCAGGCCTTATTTGCCAAATAGCAATAATAGCAATAATAATGTCCCCACATACAAAGTTTGAGAACTCTGGCTCCCTGTGAAGCGCTTTATTTACAGATTCTCATTGATTTGTTAGCAATAACAAATTAAAATAACAAATACATATAAACAAATTAACAAACGAAAATAGTAGCAGCCTGAGGTTGCTGCTGTTATGACTCAGAGACAGGAAACCCCAGTAGTTGAGAGAGGGTCCAAGTTCTGGAGTTTGGGTGTGCTTGGATTCAAATCATACAGCCCTGCCACAGATGTGCTGTGTGACCTTCATGGTGCCACGTTTCTCCCTTCCTTGGGCCTCTGCTTCCTCACCTGCAAATGGGATTGATAAAGACGTTCCCTACCTCCTGGGGTGGCAGAAGGAAGCGCTCAGAGCCTGGCACAAAGGCAGCTCCCATGAGTCTATGTAGCTGATAGTATCCAGCTGTGCGGTGCTGGTGACCGTTCCACCACCAGCTCTCGGCCGGGTCCCGCGTCATCCCAGCACTTTGGGAGGCCGAAGTGTGAGGATCGCTGGAGCCTGAGAGTTGGCTACCCATGTAGCCTGGGCAACATGGCTACAAAAAATTAGCTGTGTGTGGTGGTGCACACCTGTAGTCCCAGCTACTTGGTGGGGCTGAGCTGGGAGGATTGCTTGAACCCGGGATGCCCAGGCTGCAGTGAGCCATAATCGCACCACTGCACTCCAGCCTGGGTGATGCAGTGAGACCCTGTCTCAAAAACAAAACAAAACACCCCGGCTCTGCAGGTGGGGGTGGGGAGCCTTCATTTGTAGCATTTGCCAATTTCCACGGTATGAATATTCCCACCATTGCTAATTTCAAGCTACCAAGGTGATGTCACAAGGCATTTTTGCCCCACCATTACACGGTAATTTTACTGTGCAGCTACAACAGACGTAAGTAACCTCAGGATCACAGATAATAGCAAATGTGGTAAGGTAATTAGGACCTGACGAATATGTATTACCTTTAATATAATTTATTTAATTGTATGTTTGCATAATTTAATTTTTAATAATGGCTGTGTTTAACAACCAGTTCCAAAATTCCTGAGACATAACCATCAGCTCCAGCCAGATCCAGCGCGCTGCTGCTTTAGAAGGGGAAACTGAGGCTCAGGAAAGTGGTCAGCCAGGCACAGGACCCTTCCCCAAACTGTGTGATTCCCAGGCCAGTACTATGTCATGCCTGTTTTTCTTTCATCCCATACTGGTCCACAGAGTATGGGTGGTCCCCACAGGGCTGTCTGGCCTCCGAGAGGCCCTTGCCCTCTCTGGTCTCGGTCTGCCCGCATTGGGAGTGGCCGTGCCCTGCAGGTGAATACCCGCACAGGTTCCTCCACACCTGCTTCAGCCCTGCCCATGAGCCACACGCGGATCCTCCCTCTCACTTTACAGACTGGGAAAGTGAAGCCCAGAAAGGGCGAGCTTGCCCCGGGTCATACAGGTGGACAGAGAGGGTCCCCACATGCCAGTCGGGGTGCAGAGGAGAGGACACTGCAGCCCCAACCTGGAGGTCTGGAGCTATGTGCTTGGGCAGAGGCGGCCTGACTAGGAGGTCACTGAGCCCTCTGCAGCGGCCAAGCCCCGCACACCATCCCCTTCGCCGACCCCACCCTTGGGCCTCCGAGGGCAGAGCTTCTGCCGCCCCCACGCCCCACTGGCGAGAGAATGAGCGGGGGGCGGGGGAGGGACAATGTGGCAGCGCCTCTGGGGGCTTCTGTGGCTCGGTCCCTTTATCTCCATCTCTTCACAGATCTCTGCGTCTCTGTGTCTCTTTGTCTCTCCCTGTGTGTGTGTGTGTGGGGGGGGTGTCTCGCTGAGTCTTTGTCCCTCTGTGTCGCTGAGTCTCTCTGCCCCGGTCTCCCCGTTCATCTCCTTGCGCCTCTCTCTCCGCCCTTTTGTAACTCGTCTCTCTCTCTCTGTGTCTCTCTGTCTCTCGATCTCTCTCTCTGCGTCTGTGGCGCTCTGCCCCGGACTCTGTCTCCCCTTTTCTCCTCTGCGGTGCGTCTCTCCTCTCGGGCGAGAACCACCTCCCCGCCGGCGCGCCCAGACCCGCCTCCGCCCCCGGAGCCCCCCGCGCCCGGGACCAGCCCGGGCCTGCGCCTTTAAGGGCCGGCGGCGGGGGGCGGGGTCCCGGCGCCCCGCCCTGCCGCCCCTCCCCCTGACGTCCCTTCCTCCCTCCCCAGCCCCTCCACCGCCTCCCTCCGCCGCCGCCTGGGCCGGCTCCGCGCCCCCTCCGCGGCCCCCGCCCGCCCGCCCGCCGCCCCCATGGCGCCCGGGGTCGCCGCTGCACGGGGCCACTAGGACCCTCGGCGTCCCCTCCCCTCCCCCGCCCTGCCCCCTCTCCCGGGGCGCGGACCCGGGCGTTCACGGCGCCCAGCTTTTGAGCTCGCCTCCCCAGGCCGGCGGGGGGGGAGGGGAAGAGAGGGGACCCTGGGACCCCCGCCCCCCCCACCCGGCCGCCCCTGCTCCCCCCGGGACCGGGAGAAGATGTCTTCGCGGACGGCGCTGGCCCCGGGCAACGATCGGAACTCGGACACGGTGAGTGGGGCCCGGCCCCTTGGGAAGCCCTGGCTGGGTCCAGCCGCCAGACCTTTCGCCCCGCTGTGCCCCTCGCCCCGCGAGCCCCTACCCTGGTTTCCAGGGCTCGACCCGGCTGGTCACCTCGCGACCCCTTCCGGACTTCCAGGCCTCTCGGCCCTCCCCACCTTTTCCAGCCCAGCCCGACCCCTGGGGGCGCCGCTCTCTCGGGACCCCTCTCCTGTCCCCGTGCAGACCGCTTCCGCTCGGGTCTCTGCCCTCCAGGAAGCCCCCTCCCCTGCTTCCAGGAGCCCCTCCCTTCTCTCGCGCCTGCTAAGCCCTTTCCCCTCCGGGCGGCCGCGTCCGACACCTCGCCCCCTCCCGGATTTGCAGGGCCCCTGACCCCCCAAGGCCCGACGCTGGCTCTCACAGCAGGGCCTGGCCCAGTCCTGCCTCTGGCTCCGGCCTTCCCTGTCTGGGGCTGGGTGCTGGCTCCCCAGCAGCCCCCTCCTCTCCTTCCCAGCCCTCAGCCCCTCCAGGACCCACCCGCGACGCCTGTGGGCAGCCCCTGGCAGGAAGCTGGTTTCCACCTCTCCTGGGCCCCGGCCCTTTCCTGGCTTCTTCAAGGTCTCTCCCTTCCCAGGCCTGGTCCCCATTTTCCCAACAGCCCTATCCCTAGATCCCAGCACCCCGGGGCCCCCAGATGCCACCTGGACCCTTTCTGGTCTCTTCCCCTCCCAGGAAGCCTTGGCCTCCAACTTCCAGGCCCCCGCCTCGCCCAGGCTCTATTTCTAGGCCCTGGACCAGTCTGCCTCCAGGCCTCATCTGCCCTCTATCAACTTCTCAGCTTCAGGCAAGCCCCTTCCCCAACCCCCAACCTCTGGACCCCCGGCTAGGCCAAACTCGGGCCCCTTCCGCACAAGCCACCATCCTTTCTCCTGCCCCAGCACCTCCCCCTTCCTTGCTGGGGGTCTGGCCTCCAAAGGAAGCCCCCTCCCCAGCTTCAGAGGCCTTCCTCAGCTACAGGGCCTGGCCCTAGATCCTTCTTCCAGAAAACTCCTGGACGCGAAGCCTCTCATCTTGCCCGGGCTGCAAGCCCTCTTCCCTTGGGGTCAGTCTGCTGGAAGCCTTCTCCCCAAATTTCTAGACCCCTTGACCTCCCCCAAGGCTCAGGCTTTATTTTGCTGAGCTGCTCCTTGCCCAAGTACCCCCTACCCCACACTCTCAGGCCCCCCGAGACCCTTCTCTAGTTTCAAGGACTGCTCCCAGAAACCCCCTTCACTGATTCCTAGGAGCTTCCCCAAGACCCAGGGATTGCTGGTCTCTGACTTCCGCTGCCCCCATGGCCATGTCACTTTCTACCATCCCCAGGCGCCCCCTGCCCCGACACTGCTTCCCAGACAGTCCCAGGAAGGCCCCTCCCATCTCCTGTGTCTGGTCACTCATCACCTCCAAAGACCTGCCCACCACCAATCCCAGACTTCTCCCCAGCTGGGATCTTCATCCCTTTCTCCACATCCTTCTGCCAGCTTCCTGCTTCCCTTCCCCCCGTTTCCCTCACCTCCAAAAGACCCCCTCACCCCCCCGCCATCAGAGAGATTTACGTCTGCCCCTTCCTCATCTTGCAGATTCCTCCCTCACGGAGACCACTCCCCATCGTCACTAGAGGAGAACCCCAGTTTGGAGTCTAATAAAATGCCACCACCTCCGTTCCCCGGCCACTCCAATCGCCAGTGAGGGGCCAGGCACGCCACAGTTGTGGGCTGCAGTGCCGGCCCGGCCAGCTTGTTTGCCTCTGTCCTCAGACAGCTGGTTCTTCCTTTCTGAGCCTCAGTTTCTTGCCCTGGAAAATAGGGGTGACCGCTGGAGTGCCTCCGAGGCTTACTCGATTCGGGCGAAGCCTGGCACCTAGGAAGCACTCCACAAATGCCAGCTGCTATTGTGGCTGTGGGTATGAGTCAGACAGCCCGTGGATTCTCGGCTCAGGGCTGTCGTTAGTTGTGGAGTGAGCCTGCAGATTCGCTCCCAGCTTGGAGCCTCAGTTTCCTTGTCTCTGTATCGGGTTGATGATGGCATCTCCCCGTGAGGGATGTTTTGCAGGAGCTGATGATATGATATGATGTGACGAAGGTGCATAGAGCCTGGCATGTGTCGCGGCTGTCGTGGTTATTAGTATTACTTTAATTGTTCAGATAAACTTGGGTTCACATCCTGTTTCTTGGGACACATCCTGTCCCTCCCTAGCTGTGTGACCTCAGGCAAGTAACCTCACCTCTCTGAGCCTTGCTTTCCTTGTCTGTTAAGTGGAACGCCTGATGACGCCTAGCTGTTCCCTGGGTTGTTGAGATGTGTGCCTGGTGCGGATTTGAGGACGGCTAATCCCCTTTTCTCCTCCGATTCTTGTCACTAAGATCTGCCTGTCAGTCCTGGCCGAGAGTCACCTGCCTGCCTCTGGAATGGGAGGTGGCAGCCCCCTCTTTGCTACCTGGTTACCATGGCCACAGCCAGGTGGGGTCATGCTACCCCACCCCAAGTTCCAGGGCCCCCCACCTGGGGGCCAGCCTCCCCAGGTTCCCTAGCAACAGGCCCTGGTGTTGGGGTGCCCCCCCGGGCGGGAGGGAGCCAGGCAAGCTGGTGGTATGGGACAATTTTAGCTCCCACCCCCGGCCCCCAGGGGCTTTGTCACCCACTGCCCCAGCTGCCCCTCGAAGGGGTCCCTCATCCTTGCTGCCCTCAGCGTGGTGCCATCCCACCTCCAGCTGGCTGCCCTGGCGCTGCCTGACGGGGGTTCTTCTCCAGGTCCTTATCGCAGTGGGGATCGGAGGCCTTATCTCCAGGATCTCCACCTGCCTCCCTGGTCTCCTCTGGGAGGAAGCCTGGGGCGGTGGGGAAGCGCACAGGAGGGGTCAGGAGGCTGGGGTTCGCATCCCAGCACTGCTCCATCTGCCCTGTGACCGTGGGGGAGGGATTCCCCCTGCCTGAGCCTGGGGATCCCCGGCTGGAGGCTGCAGATCACAACTGGACCCGAATTGGAGGCCAGGGTGAGGGCGAGGCGGGCAGTGGCAGACACATGGTTAGGGCCCCGGCTCTGGTGGTTGGAACTGCCCAGCCATGGGGAGCTTGTCTTTCTGCCCCTGTGAACGGCCTGTGTGACCTTCACATGGCACCTTCCCTCTCCAGGGCTCAGTTTCTCCCCTGGAGCCTGGAGTTGCTCCCTGGGCTACTGCGGGAATTAAGTGTAGGCGAGGTGCCCATTTGCACAGAATGTGGCCCAGAGCATGAGCTGCTTCGTAGAAACGGTTCATGACCCGGCGTGGTAGCTCATACCTCTAATCCCAACACTTTGGGAGACCCAGGCAGGAGGATGGCTTGAGTCCAGGAGCTGAAAACCAGCCTGGGCAACATAGCAAGACTCCATCTCTACTGAAAAATAGCAAAACTAGCTGTGTGTCGTGGTGCAGCCCTGTGAACGCAGCTACCCGGGAGGCTGAGGTGGGACGATTTGCTCGAACCCAGGCAGTTAAGGTTGCAGTCAGACTTGATCGCACCACTGCACTTCAGCTTGGGCAACAGAGCAAGACCTGTCTCAAAAAACAAAACAAAAAAAAAACCCAAAAGGTTCAGGTGTGGTATTATGACAGTGAAAAGCATCAAGACTAGTGGCAAGCATCTGGGCGGGGTGACTCACGCCTGTAATCCCAGCACTTTGGGAGGCTGAGGTGGGTGGATCACCTAAGGTCGGGAGCTCGAGTCCAACCTGGCTGACAGGGGGAAACCCCATCTCTACTAAAAATACGAAAATTAGCCGTGATGGCGGGCACCTGTAATCCCAGCTACTCAGGAGGCTGAGGCAGGAGAATTGCTTGAATCCGGGCGGCGGAGGTTACGGTGAGCTGAGATCACGCCACTGCACTCCATTCTGGACAACTCCATCTCAAAAAAAAAAAAAAAGACTGGTGGAAACTGTCTGGGTTCAGATCGTGCGTCTGGGCCTCAGTTTCCCCTCCGTAAAGTGGGAATGACAGTGTGGTAATGGCCTCAGATTGCATCAGTGACCCGCATTAATTATCTGTTACTTGTCATTGCTATCAAGTGGCCCGGCAGTCGCTCTCTGCAAGACCCGGACCCCCAGCCCTCAGCCTCCTGGCCTTTCTTCCTCCCTTCCCCTGTTCCTTCTACTTCCGACGCCAGCCCTGGGAAGGGCACAGGCAGAACTGCCTTGGCAGGGGCCTCAGACACCCTGAGCCCAGCCCCGAAAGGGGGAGACGGTCCCTGGGGCTTCCAGTCAGGGCAGGGCAGCTCAGAGCAGGCAGGTGACCTGCAGAGGGAGAGAGGCCAGGGAGGGACAGGACAGTAGGAACAGAACATGGGGAGGAGAGAAGCCCCAGCGTGGGAGACAGCAAGTCAGGGTGCTATTGGAGCCTTGGGTATTTCAGGGGGCGGCAGAAGCAACAGTGTTTCCAAGAAGGGTAGGGGATGGAACCCGGACTCAGGGCCAGTGAAAGACGTCGTTACATGGTGGGGCGAGGTGGCTCTCGCCTGTAATCCCAGCCCTTTGGGAGACCAAGGCAGGTGGATCACCTGAGGTCGGGAGTTTGAGACCGGCCTGACCAACATAGTGAAACCCTGTCTCTATTAAAAATGCAAAATCAGCCAGGCGTGGTAGCACATGCCTGTAGTCCCAGCTACTCGGGAGGCTGAGGCAGGAGAATGGCTTGAACCCGGGAGGTGGAGGTTGCAGTGAGCTGAGATGGTGCCACTGCACTCCAGCCTGGACGACAAGAGCGAAACTCTGACTCCAAAAAAAAAAAAAAAAAAAAAGTCTTGGTTACAATGTTTGGAGTCCAATCTGGGGCAACAGTAATTGGAATAAAATGTTAGGGACATTCCACTGGGAATCAAATGTTGACATTTGCTTTGAAGTAGAGTTTGGGGGCTGGAGAGGGGACAGTGGATGGGTGAGTACACGCAGGGCCGGTGGCGGTGGGGGAGGAGCCTCGGGCCAGATTGAGGTCAGGTTGATTGGGGTTGAGAGCAGCCGCATTTAGAGCAGAATATCGTGGAGGTGATCCAGGCTCCAGGCCAGGCACATCCTGCTTTTTCGCGCTTTGCCTTATTGAACTTCATGGATACTGTGTTTTCTACTGATTGAAGGTTTCTCACGACCCTGTGTTGAGCAAGCCTGTGGGCAATTTCTCCAGCGGCTGGTGCACAATTCATGTCTCTGGGTCACATTTTGGTAACTGACGAAATATTTCAAACTTTTTCATTATTATGATAATATCTGCTACGGTGATCTGTGATCAGTGATGTTTTTCTTTTCTTTTCTTTTTTTTTTTTTTTTGGAAACAGGGTCTCACTCTGTTGCCCAGGCTGGAGTGCAGTGGCATGATCAAAGCTCACTGCAGCCTCCACCTCCTGGGGCTCATGCGATCTTCCCATCTCAGCCTCCCCAGTAGCTGGGACTATAGGCATATGCCACCATGCCTAGCTAATTTTTTATTTTTGTTTTTTAATTTCTTCTAGAGACAGGCGTCTCACTTCATTGCCCAGGCAGATGAAGTGAGACGCCTGTCTCTGGAAAAAACTCAAACTCCCTGGCTTCAAGTGATCCTCCAGCATCGTCAATTTTTTTTTTTTTTTTCTCTGAAATGGAGTCTCGCTCTGTCGCCCAGGGTGGAGGACTGTAGCAGTACCATCTCGGCTCACTGCAGCCTCCGCCTCCCAGGTTCAAGCAATTCTCGTGCCTCAGTCTCCCGAGTAGCTGGGATTACAGGCATGTGCCACCACACCTGGCTAATATGTCTGTGTTTCTGGTACAGACAGGATTTCAGCATATTGGTTAGGCTGGTCTCAAACTCCTGATCTTGTGATCTGCCTGCCTCGGCTTCCCAAAGTGCTGGGATTACAGGTGTGAGCCACTGCGCCTGGCAATTATTTTTTTTTAAATTGTGATTCACTGAAGGTTTGAATGTTTGTTAGCAGCTTTTAACAATAAAGTATTGTAAGATTGAAGTATGCACATTGTTTTGTAGATGTAATGCTATTATTGTATACTCAGTAGACTACAGTGTGGTATAAACATACTGCTTTTTTTTGTTATGAGACGGAGTCCCACCCCGTCGCACAGGCTGGAGTGCAGTGGTGGGATCTCAGCTCACCACAACCTCCCCCTTCCCTGGTTTGATCAATTCTCCTGCCTCAGCCTCCCAAGTAGCTGGGCTTACAGCTGTTTGTCACCAGGCCCAGCTAATTTTTGTATATTTAGTAGAGACGGGGTTTCCCCATGTTGACCAGGCTGGTCTCAAACTCCTGACCTCAGGTGATCCGCCCGCCTTGGCCTCCCAAAGTACTGGGATTACAGGCATGAGCCACCTCGCCTGGCCCATAGTTTTTATATGCGCTGAGAATCCAAAAAATTCATGTGCCTTGCTTTTTTGCAATATTTGCTTTATCACGGTGGTCTGGAACCAAACTTGGTGTATTTCCGAGGTGTGCGTGTATTTAGAAAAGGAGGCGGGAGGCCGGTCCCGGTGGCTCACGCCTGTAATCCCAGCACTTTTGGAGGGCAAGGCAGGTGGATCACCTGAGGTCAGGAGTTTGAGACTAACCTAGCCAACATGGTGAAACCACATCCCTACTAAAAGTACAGAAATTAGCCAGGTGTGATGGTACACGTATGTAATCCCAGCTACTTGGGAGGCTGAGGCAGGAGAATGGCTTCAACCTGGGAAGTGGAGGTTGCAGTCTGCTGAGATTGCGCCCCTGCACTCCAGCTTGGGTGACAGAGTGAGACTCTGTACCCCTCCCCCAAAAAAACAAAGACAAGGAAGTTGGGGGTACTCAGACTACTCCATTTAAAAAAAAAAGGGGGCCGGGCGCGGTGGCTCAAGCCTGTAATCCCAGCACTTTGGGAGGCCGAGGCGGGTGGATCACGAGGTCAAGAGATCGAGACCATCCTGGTCAACATAGTGAAACCCCGTCTCTACTAAAAATAACAAAAATTAGCTGGGCATGGCGGTGCGTGCCTGTAATCCCAGCTACTCAGGAGGCTGAGGCAGGAGAATTGCCTGAACCCAGGAGGCGGAGGTTGCGATGAGCCGAGATCGCGCCATTGCACTCCAGCCTGGGTAACAAGAGCAAAACTCCGTCTCAAAAAAAAAAAAAAAAAAAAAAAAAAAAAGGGCAGTGAGGGTTGAAGAAGGGGCCTGATGCCTGGGCCCCAGATGCTGCAGATTTGGGGGGCCCAGGGGCTTTTGTTCTTGGAGGCATCTTTTCGTAGAGAAAGATGAAGGATGCAATGATGTCAGGGCTCTCGGTGGCCTGAGTTTGAAAAGGGCCACAAGGGGCTGCACAAGATGGCCCATGCCTATAATCCCAGCACTTTGGGAGGCCAAGGCGGGTGGACCAGTCTGACCAACATGGAGAAACCCCGTCTCTACTAAAAATACAAAATTAGCCAGGCAGGGTGATGCATGCCTGTAATCCCAGCTACTCGGGAGGCTGAGGCAGGAGAATTGCTTGAATCCGGGAGGCGGAGGTTATGGTGAGCTGAGATTGCGCCATTGCACTCCAGCCTGGCCAACAAGAGTGAAACTCCATTTTAAAAAAAGGGCCATAAAGGGGCCGGTGGCCAGGCCTCAAGTTAACTGCACCAGCCCACGCATGCCATGAAGGTGGGATTGCATAGCTGCTCATGCCCCGTCTCCCCCGCCCAGCATGGCACGTTGGGCAGCGGCCGCTCCTCGGACAAAGGCCCGTCCTGGTCCAGCCGCTCGCTGGGTGCCCGTTGCCGGAACTCCATCGCCTCCTGTCCCGAGGAGCAGCCCCACGTGGGCAACTACCGCCTGCTGAGGACCATCGGGAAGGGCAACTTTGCCAAAGTCAAGCTGGCTCGGCACATCCTCACTGGTCGGGAGGTGAGTATGGGCACGGGGTGGGGCTCTGGGCAGGTTCCTGCGGGACCGGGGCTTCCGGGGACGTTGATACAGGTTGGGATTGGCCCTGGGTTTGCTTTACAGCCTCAGAGAGAGTCCCTGACTCTCTCTGGGACGGATCCCAATATCTCCGATTTTCCCAGAACAACCCCCGTGGGAAAAGAGAACCATTTTTGCCGGGCTGGTGGCTCACGCCTGTAATCTCAGCACTTTGGGAGGCCGAGGTGGGCGGATCACCTGAGGTCAGGAGTTCAAGACCGGCCTGGCCAACATGGTGAAACCCCGTCTTTAAAAAAAAAAAAAAAAAAAAGAATCAATTTCAGATATCCCTGAAATTGCCGAGAAATCTCAGATCACAGGCAGCCTGATACGTTGCATTGCTAAGGATGCATGTAGCTTTTGTCGCTAAACCGGATCTATGGCTGGATGCGGTGGCTCACACCTGTAATCCCAGCTCTTTGAGAGGCCAAGGTAGGAGGATTGCTTGAGCTCAGGAGTTTGAGACCAGCCTGGGCAACACAGCGAGACTTAGTCTCTACTAAAAAAAAAAAATAAAATTTGCAAAAAATTATCTGGGTGTGGTGATGCATGCCTGTGGTCCCAGCTACTTGGGAGGCTGAGGTGGGAGAATCACTTGAGCTCAGGAGTTCCAGGCTCTGGTGAGCTGTGACCTCACCACTGTACTCCAGCCTGGGTGACAGAGTGAGACCCGTCTCAGAAAATAAAAATAAAATCAAAGAGGGCTGGGTATGGTGGCTCACACCTGTAATCCAGTACTTTCAGAGGGCGAGGTAGGTGAATTGCTTGAGGTCAAGAGTTTGAGACCAGCTTGACCAACATGGTGAAACCCTGTCTCTACTAAAAATACAAAAATTAGCTGGGCATGGTGGCACATGCCTATAATCCCAGCTACTGAGGAGGCTGAAGCTGGAGAATCACTTGAACCCGGGAGGTGGAGGTTGCAGTGAGCAGAGATCATACCACTGCACTCCAGCCTGCCTGACAGAGCAAGACTGTGTCTCAAAAAAAATTAAAAAGGCTGGGTGCGGTGGCTCATGCCTGTAATCCCAGCACTTTGGGAGGCCAAGGCAAGGCAGATCACCTGAGGTCGGGAGGTCAAGACCGGCCTGGCCAACATGGTAAAACCCTATCTCTACTAAAAATACAAAAATTAGCTGGGTGTGATGGCAGGCACCTGTAATCCAGCTAATCAGGAGGCTGTGGCAGAAGAATCTCTTGACCCTGGGAGGCAGAGGTTGCAGTGAGCTGAGATAGTGCCACTGCACTTCAGCCTCTGCAACAAGAGTGAGACTCCATCTCAAAAATAATAATAATAATAATAATAATAATAATAGGCCGGGCGCGGTGGCTCAAGCCTGTAATCCCAGCACTTTGGGAGGCCGAGGCGGGTGGATCACGAGGTCGAGAGATCGAGACCATCCTGGTCAACATGGTGAAACCCCGTCTCTACTAAAAATACAAAAAATAAGCTGGGCGTGGTGGCACGTGCCTGTTATCCCAGCTACTCAGGAGGCTGAGGCAGGAGAATTGCCTGAACCCAGGAGGCGGAGGTTGCGGTGAGCTGAGATCGCGCCATTGCACTCCAGCCTGGGTAACAAGAGTGAAACTCCGTCTCAAAATAATAATAATAATAATAATAATAATAATAATAATATTTTTTTAAAAAGTAGGCCGGGTGTGGTGGCTTATGCTTTAAATCCCAGCACTTTGGGAGGTCAAGGTGAGTGGGTCACCTGAGGTCAGGAGTTCGCGACCAACCTGGCCAACATGGTAAAACCCCATCTCTACTGAAAAAAAAAAATACAAAAATTAGCTGGGCGCAGTGGCGCGTTCCTGTAATCCCAGCTACCTGGGAGGCTGAGGCAGGAAAATCACTGGAACCTGGGAGACGGAGGCTGCAGTGAGCTGAGATTGTGCTACTGCACTCCAGCCTGGGTGACAGAGCAAGACTCTGTCTTAAAAAATAATAATAAAAGGGGCCGGGCGCGGTGGCTCAAGCCTGTAATCCCAGCACTTTGGGAGGCTGAGGCAGGTGGATCACGAGGTCAAGAGATCAAGACCATCCTGGTCAACATGGTGAAACCCCGTCTCTACTAAAAATACAAAAAATTAGCTGGGCATGGTGGCGCGTGCCTGTAATCCCAGCTACTCAGGAGGCTGAGGCAGGAGAATTGCCTGAACCCAGGAGGCGGAGGTTGTGGTGAGCCGAGATCGCGCCATTGCACTCCAGCCTGGGTAAAAAGAGTGAAACTCCGCCTCAAAAAAAATAAAAAAAAAAAATAATAATAGTAAAAATAATAAATAAAGTAAAATAAACCTGAGCTGCCTCTGTTTTAAGGATGGTCTTTGATTCCTTGAAATCTTCCCGTGATCTGGAGAATACAGCAGGTTTATTCATGTTGTGTTCTCAGTTGCACGGGGCCTCACTCTCCCCGTCTCCTCTCCCAGAGCCGCATTTGTGCTGAGTATGGCAGCATTATTGCGAAAAGGGTCCACAGAGGCCTTGCAACCTAGATAGGAGGTCTCTAACTCACTTAGAGGAAAAAGGATGGTGGGTGATTTCATGATTTCCTCCCCACCCCTCCTTCAACTTCAGAGAAATGATTGGAAGGAATTCTCCTGCCTTGGATGGACTCTCCCCTGCCCTCATGCTGTCCACACCATTCACACAAAAGACACCAGGCCCTGATGGTCTTACAGGCAAATTCTACCAGATGTTCACATTTTATGCCAATTATTCCAGAGACTAAAGAAAGAACTTCCGCTGCCTGACTGGTTTTTATGTGCTAGTTTGTCCTTAAGAGCAAAACCAGACAAGAAACAAAATTACAGGCCAATCTGGTGGACATAGGTACAAAAATCTTACACAAAATATTAACAAATAGAACCTGGCAAATCAATCAGAGAAAGCTGTGTGATGACAAAGCTGGCTGTTTCTCGGGAATGCAAAGTTCTTTTCCCTTTGACAATTTATTCATGTACTTCACCACATTCTCAGACTGAAGGAGAGAAACCATATGATCGTCTCAATACTGGCATAAAAAGTGTTTGACAAAATTTTTATAAACCCGTTCGTGAGAATATGAGGAAAGCTCAGGGGCCTTCTCTTCCATGAAGAACACGTGGTTCCCTAAATGTGGGTCTGGTTCCAGGGGTTTCCGAGAGGGACCAGCCTCTAAGGAAACAAGGCCTCCAAGGGGAAGACATCTTTTCTTTTTTTTCTTTTTCTGTTTTTTTTTTTTTTTTTTTTTTTTTTGAGATGGAGTCTTGCTCCGTCACCCAGGCTGGAGTGCAATGGCACCATCTCGGTTTACTGCAACCTCTGCCTCTGAGTTCAAGCAATTCTGCCTCAGCTTCTTGAGTTGCTGGGATTACAGGTGCCCGCCACCACACCCAGCTAACTTCTGTGTTTTTAGTAGAGATAGGGTTACACCATGTTGGCCAGGCTGGTCTCAAACTCTTGACCTCAGGTGATCTGTCCACCTTGACCTCCCAAAGAGTGGGGATTACAGGTGTGAGCTGCCATGCCTGGCTGGAAGAATTCTTTAATCCCATGGGTTTAGGGCCTCTTGGGGAGTAGCCTCAAAACCCTTTGGGGGAAAACTATAAACCTGGGGCTGAATTAAGAGTTTTAAAGGCCAGGCACGGTGGCTCACTCGTGTAATCCCAGCACTTTGGGAGGCTGAGGCAGGAAGGTCCTTTGAGTTCGAGAACAGCCCTGATGACATGATGAGACCCTAGCTCTACAAAATAAAAACAAAAAACCTTTTGAAGTCCACTCACCACCGAAAAACTCACGGTGCTGTAACCCAATGTGTAATTTAAAATAAAAACTAGACTTGCGCCGGGCGCGGTGGCTCAAGCTTGTAATCCCAGCACTTTGGGAGGCCGAGGCGGGTGGATCACGAGGTCGAGAGATCGAGACCAACCTGGTCAACATGGTGAAACCCCGTCTCTACTAAAAATACAAAAAATTAGCTGGGCATGGTGGTGCATGCCTATAATCCCAGCTACTCAGGAGGCTGAGGCAGGAGAATTGCCTGAACCCAGGAGGCGGAGGTTGTGGTGAGCCGAGATCGCGCCATTGCACTCCAGCCTGGATAACAAGAGCGAGACTCCGTCTCAAAAAAAAAAAAAAACAAAAAAAAAAACTAGACTTGCTGTGGTGGCTCATGTCTGTAATCCCAGCCCTTTGGAAGGCCAAGGTTCGAGGCCAGGCTGAGGAACACAGTGAGACCCTATCTCTATTTTTTGTTTGTTTGTTTTGAGATGGGGGTCTCACTCTGTTGCCCAGGCTGGAGTGCAGTGGCGCCTTCTCGGCTCACTGCAGCCTCTACCTCCCGGGCTCAAGCAGTCCTCCCACCTCAGCTTCCCGAGTAACTGGGATCACAAGAACACATCACCACGCCTGGCGAATTTTTTTGTGTTTTCTGTAGAAGTGGGGTTTCGCCATGTTGCCCAGGCTGGTCTCCAATTCCATAGCTCAGGTTGTGTCAGGCTTTGCTGGCCTCCCAAAGTGCTGGGATTACAGGCGTGAGCCACTGCACCTGGCCCCATCTCTATTTTAAAAATAAAAGTTTCGCTGCAGACCGGGCTCAGTGGCTCACACCTGTAATCCCAGGACTTTGGGAGGCCAAGGTGGGTGGATCACCTGAGGTCAGGAGTTCGAGACCAGCCTGGGCAACATGGAGAAGCCCCTTCTCTACTAAAAATGCAAAATTAGCCGGGTGTGGTGGCGCATACCTGTAATCCCAGCTACTCTGGAGGCTGAGGCAGGAGAATCACTTGAACCCTGGAGGTGGAGGTTGCAGTGAACTGAGATGGTGCCATTGCATTCCAGCCTGGGCAACAAGAGCGAAACTCCATCTCAAAAAAAAAAAAAAAAGTCGTAAGCTTTAAAAGGTAGACTCTATCAGGCTGCATAAGTTCAAATCTGGCCCATAACTTAGTAGCCATGTAACTTTGGCCAAGTGGTGAACTGCTCTGTGCCTTAGTTTCCCTGTTGGTAAAATGAGGATAATCCTATTAGCCAGATATTGGTGGCTTGTGCCTGTGGTCCCAGCTACTCAGGAGGCTGAGGTGGGAGGATTGCTTGAGCCCAGGAGGGCGAGGCTGTAGTGAGCTATGATCACACCACTGCAACACCACCGTACTCTACCCTGGTGACAGAGCGAGACTCTGCCTCCAAACCAAACAAACAAAAAGGGCGGGGGAGTGGGAGGGATCATCTTAGCACTTACCTCACGGGTTGTTGTGAGGATTAAGAGTTGGAATTTGTAAAGCACGCAGGCCACAGGCCACGTAGTGAGGGCTTAGTGCCTGCTAGCCAATTGTTGTTTTTTCCATGGGTCCTTTGTTCAAAACAAAGCTGTGATGGGCAAGTGATCACCTCAAGTCTTGGCCACGCCCCCATCCACTCAGCCACCTCTGGAGCAGCCTCAGCCAGGCCCTGCTGTGGAATAAGGATATTTCTCTGCAGAAGTGAGGGTGGCAGTGGAGACAGGACAGCCTGTGCAAAGGCCCTGAGGCCCTGAGGTCCTCTCCACTGGGAATGGCCCAGAGTAAGGGCTCTACCAGGAGACGGGGCAAAGGAAGGGTATCCCAGGGTCATCTGAGCTGGGCCAGGCTGGAGTGCAGTGGCACCACCTCGGGTCACTGCAACCTCTGCCTCCCAGGCTCAAGCAATTCTCCCACCTCAGCCTCCTGAGTGGCTGGACTGCACCCAGCTAATTTTTGCATTTTTAGTAGAGACAGGGTTTTGCCATGTTGCCCAGGCTGGTCTTGAACTCCTGACCTCAAGTGATCCTCCCACCTCGGCCTCCCAATGTGCTGGGATTGCAGGCCTGACCACCGAGCCCAGTGGGGCCTGTGGTGCCTTGACCTGCCTTCCTCTCCTTCCCTCTAGGTTGCCATCAAGATCATCGACAAAACCCAGCTGAACCCCAGCAGCCTGCAGAAGGTAAGGCTGGGGAGATGAGGGAGAGCAGGAGCCAGGCTCCCAGGATAGCCGGGTGACCCCCGACCCCTCCTTCGGGGGCACGGCCTGGGAAAGGATCCCCCAAGCCACCCATCCTCACTCTCCTCTGTCTTCCTTTCCGGCCACGCCCAGCTGTTCCGAGAAGTCCGCATCATGAAGGGCCTAAACCACCCCAACATCGGTGAGGAGGGCACGGGAGCCAGTGCAGGGGCAGGCCACCAACAGGGACACTTGGACAGGAGTTGGGGGGTGGTCAGTGGCAGCGGTTAGAATAGATGGAGACCTGCCAGGCACGGTGACTCACACCTGTAATCCCAGCACTTTGGGAGGCCGAGGCAGGTAGATCCCTTGAGGTCAGGTGTTTGAGACCAGCCTGACCAACATGGTGAAACCCCATCTCTACTAAAAATACAAAAACTAGCTGGGTGTGGTGGCAAGCGCCTGTAGTCCCCGCTGCTCAGGAGACTGAGGCAGGAGAACTGCTTAAGCCGGGGAGGCGGAGGTTGCGGTGAGCCGAGATCGCACCACTGCGCTCCAGCCTGGACCATAAAACGAGACTTTGTCTCAAAAAAAAAAAAAAAAAGTTAGAGACCTGGTTTTTCATAGTCGGGTCACTGCTGTGTGATGTTGGGCAAGTCACTTAACCTCTTGGAGCCTCTGCTTTGTCTTCTGGAGTAGGGGTGGTAAGAGGGCCTGTTACCAGGCCATCGTGAGGACTGACTAAGGTTGTGCGTTCAGGTGCTTAGTTTGGGCTGAGTGATGGGACCTGGTCTGATTATTTCCACCAGCATCAACATCCTCACTGCCATTATCGTTAGGCAGAGCGGGGAGAGCGGGGTCTTTAGTGAGAGAAGCGGAGTTTAGCTCCGCCTGGATGTGGCTGCTGCATTTGTTCATTCATTCATTCATTTACTCAGTAACTATTGATTGAGTGGCTGCTATGTGCTGGACCCTGGGGACACAGCAGGGAAGAAAACAAGACACAAATCCCTGGCCTCGTGGAGCTGACATTCTTGTGAGAGAAAGTGGAAAAGGTGGTAGAGGTGGACTGAGGAGTTTGGAAGATCTTGCTGTCAATAGGGAGCCATTGAGTGTTCTTGAGTGCGGGGTGGCGGGGGGCATGTTATGGTTGGCATATTTGCATAGTTACTGAGTACAGGTTGGGAGGGGCCCTTTCTCCCTAACGCCCCGCACTGCCCCCGACCATTGCAGTGAAGCTCTTCGAGGTGATTGAGACTGAGAAGACGCTGTACCTGGTGATGGAGTATGCCAGTGCCGGTGAGCCGCCCACCCCCTCCGCCCTGTCCCCGCTGCCGCCCTCCCCGCCCCCGCACCTGACCCTGACCCCGCTCGGCCTCTGCCCCACAGGAGAAGTGTTTGACTACCTCGTGTCCCACGGCCGCATGAAGGAGAAGGAAGCTCGAGCCAAGTTCCGACAGGTCGGGGCAAGGCTGAGGGTGGGGCTGGGGGCTGCCTGGGTCCCTGGGAGGGTGTCCCTTGACCTGGGGGTGGGGCTTAAGTCTGGGCAGGGGTGAAGGTGCAGAGTTGGGTATCCTGGGTGTGCAGTGGCCCAGATGTGAGGGCATCCTAATGTAGGTATGCCGGTGCCCCGTTGGGTGGGTGAGAGGGTGTTCGGGCATGAAGACACCCCGGTGTGCAGGTGTTGCATGTTTAAGGCACATGGGTGTGTCCAGCACGTAGGTGTGTGGGCGAGGGGGCACCAGGGTACCAGGTGTGAGTGTGCCGGAGTGGCGTGAAAGATGTCTGGGCAGTAAATATGTGGGTGCCCAGGTGTGCAGGGAAGAGAGTGTAGGGCATCCCAGGTAGATGGGCAAGAGGGGGCTGAGGGGTGGCTGTGTAAGTTTGTAGGTGCCAGGGCATGCCAATATGTGGGTGTCCACGTGTGTGAGTACCCAGGTGTGTGGTAGCGAGGACACCCAGGTGTCTAAGAGTGTGGAAGTGGGCCATGGGTGGAGTAAGAGGACTTGCAGATATGAAGGTGCCCAGGTGTGTGGGTGAGATGTGCAGGTGTAAGGACACCCAGGTGTGTGGGTGAGAGGTGCAGGTATGAGGGTGCCCAGGTGTGTGGGTGAGATGTGCAGGTATGAGGGTGCCCAGGTGTGTGGGTGAGATGTGCAGGTGTGAGGGCACCCAGGTGTGTGGGTGAGATGTGCAGGTGTGAGGGTGCCCAGGTGTGTGGGTGCTCAGGTGTGTGGGTGAGATGTGCACGCGTGAGGGCGTCCAGGGGTGGGGGTGAGAGGAGGTGCAGGTGTGAGGGCGCCCAGGTGTGTGGGTGAGATGTGCAGGTGTGAGGACGCCCAGGTGTGTGGGTGAGAGGTGCAGGTGTGAGGGCACCCAGGTGTGTGGGTGAGATGTGCAGGTGTGAGGGCGCCCAGGTGTGTGGGGTGAGATGTGGAGGTGTGAGGGCACCCAGGTGTGTGGGGTGAGAGGTGCAGGTATGAGGGCGCCCAGGTGTGTGGGTGAGATGTGCAGGTGTGAGGGCGCCCAGGTGTGTGGGTGAGAGGTGCAGGTGTGAGGGCGCCCAGGTGTGTGGGTGAGAGGTGCAGGTGTGAGGGCGCCCAGGTGTGTGGGGTGAGATGTGCAGGTGTGAGGGCACCCAGGTGTGTGGGTGAGATGTGCAGGTGTGAGGGTGCCCAGGTGTGTGGGGTGAGAAAAGGTGCAGGTGTGAGGGTGCCCAGGTGTGTGGGTGAGATGTGCAGGTGTGAGGGTGCCCAGGTATGTGGGTGAGATGTGCAGGTGTGAGGGTGCCCAGGTGTGTGGGGTGAGAGGAGGTGCAGGTGTGAGGGCGCCCAGGGGTGTGGGTGAGATGTGCAGGTGTGAGGGTGCCTAGGTGTGTGGGGTGAGAGGAGGTGCAGGTGTGAGGGCGCCCAGGGGTGTGGGTGAGATGTGCAGGTGTGAGGGCGCCCAGGTGTGTGGGGTGAGAGGAGGTGCAGGTGTGAGGACGCCCAGGTGTGCGGGTGAGATGTGCAGGTGTGAGGGCGCCCAGGTTTGTGGGGTGAGAGGAGGTGCAGGTGTGAGGGCGCCCAGGTGTGTGGGGTGAGAGGAGGTGCAGGTGTGAGGACGCCCAGGTGTGCGGGTGAGATGTGCAGGTGTGAGGGCGCCCAGGTGTGTGGGGTGAGAGGAGGTGCAGGTGTGAGGACGCCCAGGTGTGCGGGTGAGATGTGCAGGTGTGAGGGCGCCCAGGTTTGTGGGGTGAGAGGAGGTGCAGGTGTGAGGGTGCCCAGGTGTGTGGGTGAGATGTGCAGGTGTGAGGACACCCAGGTGTGCGGGTGAGATGTGCAGGTGTGAGGGCGCCCAGGTGTGTGGGTGAGAGGTGCAGGTGTGAGGACACCCAGGTGTGCGGGTGAGATGTGCAGGTGTGAGGGTGTCTCTTTGGGACTGCAGCTCCGTCGATGCAGCTGTCTTGAATTCAAGGCCCGTAAGCCCTGCTGAGTTGGGATGGCATGTCTTGGGATTCTTCATGGGAGTTTCTCACTTCATGGGAGTGAAGGTTGAGAGAGGGCTGGTCCCCATGCCTCGGTTCCAACATCCCTGGGCATGGGGTGTCCTGGCGGAGGTTCCACAGGCACCTCTTACTGTGACCGAGTCAGGGTGCGAGGCCGCAGGTGCCTGTTCCTTGGGGAGACCTGAGGCCCAGGGGTCCAGTTGTAAGTGGCTTTACAGATGGCTCAGGGGCGCGGAGGGTTTTATGAGCCGCAAATAATTGACTTTCCCCCCCCCCTCCCAGATTGTTTCGGCTGTGCACTATTGTCACCAGAAAAACATTGTACACAGGGACCTGAAGGTAAGCCCCCGCCCCTCGGTGACCTCAGGGACCCCTGCTCAGCCCATGGATTCCTCTGTCCCCCACCCCTCCCTGGTTCTCTTGCTCTCCAGCAAATCCCCCCAGCCCTTGTCTCCCCCCGCTCCTCCCTCCGCACCCAGCACCCCTTGACCCTTTCCCAAGCCTTTGTGGCAGAAACAAGGCCAGCAGATTGGGGAGCGGATGGGGAGGAGGGGATAGCAGGAGTGACCAAAGCAGGAGAAACGTAGTGTCCCAGAACGGCCCTGGATGCTGCGTGCTGCTGGATAAGGACGCTGGGCGTGACAAAGGGTTGGCCGCCCTCAGAGCCTTTGGGACCTTGGTGCTCTCAGACCTTGGGACATTCAGGACTCCTTGGGGATTCAGGTTGGAGAGACCCAGGGTCGCTCCAGGGTCGCTCTGCCCAAAGAGTCTCAGAGCCACAGGAATCTGAGAACTTGAGAAGGGGCTTTTGTAAATTTTTATTTTTGAGATAGAGTCCCACTCTGACAGCCAGACTGGAGTGTCCCGATCTCAGCTCGCTGCAACCTCTGCCTCCCGGGTTGAGGTGATTCTCCTCAGCCTCCCAAAGAGCTGGGATTACAGGTACTTGGCACTGAGACGGAGCCTCACTGTGTCGCCAGGCTGGAGTATAGTGGCGCAGTGCAAGCTCACTGCAGCCTCCGCCTCCTGGGTTCAAGTGACTCTCCTGCCTCAGAATCCTGAGTAGCTGGGATTACAGGCGTGTGCCACCGTGCCTGGCTAATTTTTGTATTTCTAGTAGAGACAAGGTTTCACTATGTTGGCCAGGCTGGTCTCCAACTCCTGACCTCAAGTGATCTGCCCGCCTCAGCCTCCCAAAGTGCTGGGATTACAGGCGTGGGCCCCTGTGCCCTGCTGGAGAAGGGGCTTTGAGAGAAAATTCGCCTTGGCCAGTGTCAGGCAGGAAGAGACTCAGCTGCCTCCCGGAGCTGAGTCGGGCAGCCCCTTCGAGCGCCTGTGGCCCCCGGGCCCCCACCCCACACCTTGCCCTGCACATCTCAAGACCAGGTAGTTGAACGTTTGGTTGCTCTAATTCAGTTGTCTTGACCGTTGTTTTGCGAGCACCTGTGTGCTAGGCAGCGTGCTAAGTGCTTTAAGGAAGTGCTTCTGGAACTATCTATGAGGAAGGGCTGGGTTGGTTTTGTTCTGTTTTTTTTTTTTTGCCCATGTCAGAGTGTGATGCTTCCATCACAGCTCACTGTAGCCTCGACCTCTTGGGCTTAAGCATTCCTCCCGCCTCAGCCTCCTGAGTGGCTGGAACCACAGGTGCGAGCCACCATGCCTGGCTAATTTTTAATTTTGTTGTAGAGATGGAGTCTCACTCTGTTGCCCAGGCTGGTCTCAAACTCCTGGGCTCAGGCGATCCTCCCACCTCAGCCTCCCAAAGCTCTGGAATCTCAGCTCACCGCAACCTTGGCCTCCCAGGTTCAAGTGATCCTCCTGCCTCAGCCTTCTGAGTTGCTGGGATTACAGGTGTGCACCACTGTGCCCAGCTAATTTTTGTATTTTTAATAGCGATGGGGTTTCACCACGTTGGCCAGGCTGGTCTTGAACTCCTGACCTCAAGTGATCTGCCCGTCTTGGCCTCCCGAAGTGCTGGGATTACAGGCATGAGCCACTGCGCCCAGCCATAAGCACCGTTTAAAAAACTATTATTGGACTCCAAAGACATAAAATTCCACAGCCAGATTCCTATGGAGTATCAGGTGCAGTCTCACGCCTATAGTCCTAGCACTTTGGAAGGCCAAGGTGGGAGGTTTGCTTCAGCCCAGAAGTTCGAGAACAGCCTGGGCGACACAGCAAGATCCTCGTCTCTACAAAAAATAATTGTAAAAAACTAGCTTGTATGCTTGTGGTCTCAGCTACTCAGGAGGCTGAGGCAGGAGGATCCCTTGAGCCCAGGAGGTTGAGGCTGCACTGAGCCACGATCGCTCCACTGCACTCCAGCCTGGAAGACAGAGCAAGACCCTGTCTCTAAACACAAAAAAGAAAACATATGAAAGCAGAAGGTGCATCTAAAGGCTGGGTGTGGTGGCTCATGCCTGTAATCCCAGCACTTTGGGAGGCCGAGATGGGCGGATCACTTAAGGTCAGTAGTTCGAGACCGGCCTGAACTCAGGAGGCACTCCAACCTTGGCAATAGAGCAAGACTGCGTCTCAAAAAAAAAAAAAAAAAAAAAAAGTGCATCTGAAAAAAAAGTTAAAAATGAAAACAAAAAACGATTCGCTATAGAGGTTGAAGTGCTCACCGTCTTTTCACTTCCCTCTGCTGGGCTATGATGTCCCTTCACACAACCCTGGAGGGAATACCTTAGAGACTTCCATGATTAACCTGGAGGTTGCATGCCCCTGGTGGAGGGTCCCAGAAGCAGCTAAAACGAATTTTGGGGTCCTGTTAGTACACCAGGGATACCAACCAAGGGGACCAACTCAAATGTGACCTTGGCGCTAGATGGCGGAGCCTCAAATGCCAGGGAAAGAAATGTAGTCCCTGGCCTGGCGTGGTGGCTCACACCTGTAATCCTAGCACTTTTTGGGAGGCCAAGGTAGGCGGATCACCTGTGGTCAGGAGTTCGAGACCAGCATCGCCAACATGACGAGACCTTTTCTCTACTAAAAATACAAAATTTGGCTGGGTGTGGTGGTATGTGCTCGTAGTCCCAGCTACTAAGGAGGCTGAAGCAGGAGAATCGCTTGAACCCAGGAGGCAGAGGTTGCATTGAGCCGAGATTGCACCACTGCACTTCAGCCTGGGTGACAGAGTGAGACCTGCCTCAAAGAAAAAAAAGGCTGGAGGCTGCCTCCACACACTGTGGAAGTGTGTGGCCTTGTTAGATTCTAGTTCTGCTGCTTTCTTGCTATTAGCATGAGGCGGGGCCTTCCTGAGCCCCTGTTTTCTTGTGAAATGGCAATTGCAAGACCACATGCCACGGAACAGTAGACACAATTTTATAACAATACAAAACGTTTATGTATTTATTTATTTATGAGATGGAATCTCGCTCTATCGCCCCGGCTGGAGTACAGTGGCTCACGTGATTGTTCTGCCTCAGCCTCCCAAGTTACTGGGATTACAGGCGTCTGCCACTACACCTGGCTAATTTTTGTATTTGTAGTAGAGACGGGGTTTCACCATGTTAGCCCGGGCTAGTCTCGATTATAGGGGTGAGCCACCGTACCCGACCAAGAATTATTTATTGATCACTGATTGCATTCTAGGGGCCACTGTGAGCACTTTACGCTTAAACCCACAACTGCCGCAGGGGCGCGGTGGCTCACGCCTGTAATCTCACGCCTGTAATCTCAGCACTGAGGCAGGCAGATCACAAGGTCAGGAGTTCGAGACCTGCCTGACCAACATGGTGAAACCCCATCTCTACTAAAAATACAAAAATTAGCCTGGTGTGGTGGCGTGTACCTGTAATCCCAGCTACTCAGGAGGCTGAGGCAGGAGAATCTCTTGAACCTGGGAGGCGGAGGTTGCAGTGAGCCGAGATAGTGCCATTGCACTCCACCAACAGAGTGAGAGTCCATCTCAAAAAAAAAAAAAAAAAAGACAACCCCACAACTGCCTGTATATATATATACCTATATAAGGCAGGTATCGTGGTCACTGTTAGCTTACACACAAGGAAACTGAGGCACAGAGAGGTCTGGTAACCCACCTAAAGGCACACAGGGAATGAGTGGTGGAGCCAGGATTTGCAGCTGGAATTCTCCACGAATCTATAGTTTCACCTTCACATTATGTAGACAGACACTGTGATAATCCATAGCCCACAGAGGCCAGTGCATGGTAGGTATGCAGCCAGGATTAAATTATTGCTTTTATTTTTCTGGGTCTTGAGCACTCAGGCCTTATTTCATTTCTGCTGGGTAACCTGAGGCCCCAAGAGGGGCAGGAGATTACCCGAAGACTCCCAACTCTGCAGACCACACGGGACAATAGAATATTACATAGTGTTCAAAGGTGTAAAATACTGTTCTAGGTTTTCTTTTTTCTTTTTCTTTTTTTTTTTTTTTTTTTGAGATGGAGTTTCACTCCGTTGCCCAGGCTGGAGTGCAGTGGCGCGATCTTGGCTCACCGCAGCCTCTACCCCCTGGGTTCAAGCGATTCTCCTGCCTCAGCCTCCTGAGTAGCTGGGATTACAGGCCACCACACGCAGCTAATTTTTTTGTATTTTAGTAGAAATGGGTTTTCACCATGTTGGGCAGGCTAGTCTCGAACTCCTGAGCTCAAGTGATCCACCTGCTTTGGCCTCCCAGAGTGCTGGGATTGCAGGTGTGAGCCACAGGCACCTGGCCTCTAGGTTTTCTTTTCTTTTCTTTTTTTTTTTTTTTTTTTGAGACAAGGTCTCACTCTCTCATCCAGGCTGGAATGCAGTGGTAGTCATGGCTCACTGCAACCTCTGCCTCCCAGGTTCGAGCAATTCTCCTGCCTCAGCCTCCCAAATAGCTGGGACTACAGGCGCGTACCACTATGTCCGGTTAATTTTTGTATTTTTAGTAGACGGGGCTTTGTCATGTTGGCCGGGCTGGTCTTGAACTCCTGACCTCAGGGGATCCACCTTTCTTGGTCTCCCAAAGTGCTGGCATTATAGACATGAGCCAGCATGTCCGGCCTATTCTAGGTTTTCTATGTCGATTAACTTACAGTTCTCCAACTACGCTGTGAGGTAGGGACCCATTCTATGGATGAGAAAACTGAGGCCCAGCGAGGTAAAGTCACTGCCTAAGGTCAGGCAGAGAGTAAGGGACGGGCCTGAGAGTCGATTCCCCGTGGGCCAGCCCTAGAGCCTGCGCTCCTGTCTGCCTCCCACATCCACGAGGGGCTTTAGCCTGGAGTCCCACTCTCCACCCTCTCCTCCTCTCCCCCTAGGCCGAGAACCTCTTGCTGGACGCCGAGGCCAACATCAAGATTGCTGACTTCGGCTTCAGCAATGAGTTCACACTGGGCTCGAAGCTGGACACGTTCTGTGGGAGCCCCCCGTACGCCGCCCCGGAGCTGTTTCAGGGCAAGAAGTATGACGGACCGGAGGTGGACATCTGGAGCCTGGGGGTCATCCTGTACACCCTGGTCAGCGGCTCCTTGCCCTTTGATGGGCACAACCTCAAGGTACCGGGAGGGGCTGGGCACGGGGGTGTCGGCCCCTCCCCACGGTCAGGCCCCCACTCCCACACACCTCCCCTGCAGAGGGCCTCAGTGTTGGGGCCGGCCTGAGTGCCCGTGGGAAGATGGGACGGGCAGGATTCCAGTCTTCACAGCAGTGAGGCCAGCTGGAGTGGACCGTGCCATGCGGGGGTTAAGAGCAGGATCTTTGCAGCTGATAGGCTTGAGTTCAGATCCTGAGTCATCCGTTCACCGAGTTAATATTTATGGCCTGGCTCTCCGTGGCAGGTTCTGTTTGGGGCTTTGCCCGTAAGGCAAAAGCTCCTGCCTGGCTGGGTGTGGTGGCTCATGCCTATAAGCCCAGCACATTGGGAGGCAGAGGTGGGAGGATCACTTGAGCCAGGAAGTTCGAGACCAGCCTGGGCAGCATAGGGAGATCCCGTTTCTACAAAAAATACAAAAATTAACCAGACATAATGGTGCGTGTCTGTAGTCCCAGCTACTTCAGAGGCTGACGTGGGAGGATCATTCGAACCCGGGAGCGCAAGACTCCAGTGAGCTGAGATCGTGCCACTGCACTCCAGCCTGCGTCACAGGAGGAGACCCTGTCTCCAAAAAGAAATTTTTTTTTTTTTTTTTTTTTTTTTTGAGACGGAGTTTTGCTCTTGTTACCCAGGCTGGAGTGCAATGGCGCTATCTTGGCTCACCGCAACCTCCGCCTCCTGGGTTCAGTCAATTCTCCTACCTCAACCTCCTGAGTAGCTGGGATTACAGGCACACGCCACCATGCCCAGCTAATTTTTTGTATTTTTAGTAGAGACGGGGTTTCACCATGTTGACCAGGGTGGTCTCGATCTCTCGACCTCGTGATCCACCCGCCTCGGCCTCCCAAAGTGCTGGGATTACAGGCTTGAGCCACCATGCCTGGCCCAAAAAGAAATTTAAAAACAAAAAAACTCTGGCCTTGTGTATGCTACGCCATGGGTGAACCTTGAAAACATTGTGCTAAGTGACAGAAGGCAGTCACGTAACGCCACAGAGTGTATGATTCCATTAATGTGAAAAGTCCAGAATAGGCAAATCCATAGAGACAGAAAGTGGATTACTGGTTGCCTGAGGCTGGTGGGGGAGGAGGGAGTTGGAAGTTGATTGCTAAAGGGTGCAGGGTTTCTTTTTTGAGGTGATGAAAAATGTTCAAAACTGAATGTAGTGGCTGGGCACAGAGGCTCACGCCTGGTAATCCCAGCGCTTTGGGAGGCCGAAGTGGACGGATCACTTGAGGTCAGGGGTTCAAGATCAGCCTGGCCAATGTAGTGAAACCCCATCTCTACAAAAACTACAAAATTAATTGGGCGTAACTACAAAAATTATCTGGGTGGCAAGCGCTTGTAATCCCAGCACTTTGGGAGGCCAAGGCGGGCAGATCACTTGAGATGAGGAGTTTGAGGCCAGCCTGGCCAACATGGTAAAACCCTGTCTACTAAAAATATTAAAACTAGCTGGGTGTGGTGGCAGGCATCTGTAATCCCGGCTACTCAGGAGGCTGAGGCTGGAGAATTACTTGAACCCAGGAGGCAGAGGTTGCAGTGAGTTGAGATCTTGCCATTGCACTCCAGCCTGGGTGACAGAGTGAGACTGTGTCTCGAAAAAAAAAAAAAAAAAAAAAAATTGAATGTGGTAATGATTGTGCAACTCCGTGCATATACTAAAAACCATTGAGTTGTGCACTTTGCTTCAAACAAAACAATTCCTGTCTCCCCGGCCTACTGCCTACTGGGCCATGCAGCAAAGAAAACAAATAAGCAAACTAGACATGGTATCGGATGCTGGCCAGTGCTGCGCGGGGTGGGAGGATTATGGTAAGGGGGTGGGAGGCATGGGCTGAGTTGCCTCTTGCTTTTTTTTTTTTCCTTTGAACTTTTTATTTTGAACCATTGCCAATCTACGGGAAAGGAGCAAGAATAGAGCATAGAACACATGATGCGTTTCAGGAGATTCACAGTCGCTGGCCTGTGGCCATGTTTGCTGCATCCGTCTGTATTCGCACGTGATCTCTGCTGGCATCATCGGTATTGATAGGCCATTTGACAGTTAGTCGCAGACACTGTGTCCTTTTATCCCTCAAGGCGACAGCGGGTTATCTCCTGAGACCAGGGGTGTTTTCCTGTTGGCGGTGGGAAATACAGGAAATACAGCAGTGGTATAATCCTGGCCTCTACCCCACAGCCCATACTCAGATTTCATCTGTCATCCCCAGAATATCCTTGGCAGCCTTTTTTTTTTTTTTTTTTTTTTTTTCCTGGTCAGGGATCCACCCGGGTCCCCGAGTTGCAGTTAGCTGCACTGACTCTTATGTCTCCTTTCATCCGGAACAGCTCTCAGCCTCTCTCTTGTCTTTTGTGACATTGACATGATCGATTCATTCAGGCCAGTTTTGCAGAACGTCCCTCAATTTGGGTTGCCTGGTGTTTCCTCTCGATTGCAATTGAGGGTGCATTGGAGCAGGAATTCTGCAGCTGGGACACCCTGTCCTGCTCTGCGTGGCCCATGAGGAGCACGTAGTGTGATCTGAAATCGGAAAGTCAGGGAAATAGTTGCAGAGGACAGGTCATCAAAGGAGAGCCTCGAGTGACAAAGGGGAGGGAGTCCCTTCTTCACAGTAGCCTTGGCCAAAGAGCCAGCTTCTCTCAGCCTCCGTCTCACCTTCTGTTCGATGAGGCTCATAAAAACACCAACCTCTCTCCCGAAATCGGATGTCAAGTGGAAAAAGAAAAAGAAAAAGAAAAAAAAAAAAAAAAAGACACCAACCTCGTGGCAGTAATTTTTAAGGACTTGCTGAGATCAGGCATGCAAAGTACACGTTTGGGACAGACCACTGGAGGTCAGGAGTTCGAGACCAACCCGGCCAACATGGTGAAACCCCGTCTCTACTAAAAATACAAAAATTAGCCAGGTGTAGTGGCACACGCCTGTAATCCCAGCTACTCAGGAGGCTGAGGCAGGAGAATCGCTTGAGCCAGGGAGGCAGAGGTTGCGGTGAGCCGAGATCGTGCCACTGAACTCCAGCCTAGATGACAGAACAAGACTCTATCTCGAAAACAAAACGGAAACAAAAACAGCCTGTGACACCCAGGCCGTAGCTGAAGCCTGCGGTGGGGAGGTACTGTCACAGAATTTTTGTCAGCCTCAAGTGTGAAGCAAAGAGACCTTTTCCCTTGTCACTTTCTGCTGTCCTGGTGTCCCCAGCAGGCACCCCAGGCCTTGCTGGGCAAAGGAGGCACACAACTGAGAGGAGGCCGGTTCTAGCGGTGTCATTTCTTTTCTGAGTGACCTTGGACACATCCTCTGAACCTCATTTTCCCCACCTGTAAGATGAAGACATTAAGGGTATTCAGGACAAGCATGGTGGTCATACCTGTAATCCCAACACCTTGGGTGGTCAAGATGAGATCACTGGAGGTCAAGAGTTCAAGACCAGCCTGGCCAACTTGGTGAAACCCCATTTCTACCAAAGATACAAAAAGGAGCCAGGTGTAGTGACACATGCCTGTAGTCCGAGCTTCTTGGGAGGCTGAGGCAGGAGAATCACTTGAACCTGGGAGGTGGCGGCTGCAGGGAGCCGAGATCTTGCCCCTGCACTCCATCCAGCCTGGACGACAGAGCAAGACTCTACCTCAAAAAAATAAAAAGAGTTTGACACCAGCCTGGGCAACATTTCAAGACCCCGTCTCTGCAAAACATATTTTTAAAATTAGCCAGGCATTGTGGTGCCTGCCTGCAGTCCCAGCTGCTTAGGATGCTGAAGTGGGAGAATTTCATGAGCCCAGGAATTCCAGGCTACAGTGAATTGTGATCATACCACTGTATTCCAGCCTGGGTGACAGAGCAAGAGCCTGTCTCTTTAAAAAAAAAAAAAAAAAAAAAAAGGGATCTGCTTGCAGCCATCTGCATATGTTAAGCCCTTCGCTGGAGCTTGGCATCTGGCCACAGCATCAGGCTTGGTGGCTGCGCTGGAGGTGGCAGTGGTGGCCTGATGGAGCCTTCTCCCCGTCATGTGACAGGTAGTGTGGCACTGTGGTCACACAGCAGAGGCTCCAGACCCAAGGCCTTACCACTTTCTGGCTGTGCAATCCTGGGGCAAGTGACCAAACCACTCTGGGCCCCAACCTCCTCGTCTAGAAAGTGGGCATTAAAACCGGGCTTTGTGGTGTTGGTGAAATGGATGTAATATGCTTAAAGCCCTTAGAACCGTGCCTGCTAAGGGGTCAGTGTCGTGCAAGTGATCCAGATTAAATATGAATAGCCCTTTATACTGATCTGCAGATCCAGCAGGCTCCCCAGGCACCGGCATCTTTCGGCCCTTTTAGCAGAAAGCCCACCAGTCCCTAGCAGAGGGCTCTGTCCCAAGGGACCCCTGTTCACCCCCCACCCTCACTTCACCCCTGCGTGTTTTCCACCTCCCTCCATTTTTCCTTTGTTTTTTGAGACAAGGTCTCACTGAATCACCCAGGCCGGAATGCAGTAGTGCAGTCACAGCTCACTGCAGCCTCAACCTCCCGGGCTCAGGCAAGCCTCCTGCCTCAGCCTCCCGAGCAGCTGGGATTACAGGCAGCTACCACCATGACTGGCTCATTTTTATTTTTATTTTTTATTTATTTATTTTTTGAGACGGAGTTTCACTCTTGTTACCCAGGCTGGAGTGCAATGGCGCGATCTCGGCTCACCGCAACCTCCGCCTCCCGGGTTCAGGCAATTCTCCTGCCTCAGCCTCCTGAGTAGCTGGGACTACAGGCACGCGCCACCATGCCCAGCTGATTTTTTGTATTTTTAGTAGAGACGGGGTTTCACCATGTCGACCAGGATGGTCTCGATCTCTTGACCTCGTGATCCACCCGCCTCGGCCTCCCAAAGTGCTGGGATTACAGGCATGTGCCACCGCGCCCGGCTTGGCTAATTTTTGTATTTTGAGTAGGGACAGGGTTTCACCATGTTGGCTGGACTAGTGTGAAACTCCTGACCTCAGGTGATCCCCCTGCCTTGCCCTCCCAAAGTGCTGGGATTACAGGCGTGAGCACCGTGCCGGGCCAATCATTTTATTTTTTAATTGCAGCACCTGTATGATGTTCCTATTTTACGGACAGGGAACTGAGGTCAGGAGAGAGGAGTGGGGTTTTGCCCACCTCGTCAGGTTGTCAGGGCTGGGACTCAGAGCTTCTGTCACTCTATCAAAGGGGCTGGGGCAAAGATGAGAGAGAGGGAGAGAGTGTGAGCGTGTGTGTGTGTGCGAGTGTGAGTGTGTGTGTGTGTAATAGGTGTGGAGTGCGGGACAGGCCCCTCCGGCAGTAACCCCCTCCCTGCAGGAGCTGCGGGAGCGAGTCCTCCGGGGGAAGTACCGGGTCCCTTTCTACATGTCAACAGACTGTGAGAGCATTCTGCGGAGATTCTTGGTGCTGAACCCAGCTAAACGCTGTACTCTCGAGGTGAGCCCAGCCCCACGGCCAGCGGAGACCCCTCTCATCTCCTGACTCCCCCAAACCCTACCTGCCCCCCACCCCCAAAAGCCTTCTCGACACGCTTTTCCTCTCCCGTGCCCACCTAAGATCTGCTGCTGGTGAGTGGGGGTAGACAGGCAGTCCAGGGAAGAAGCTCCCAGGCCTGTCCTGACACCACCCCCCCAACAGGCTCACCCACTCCCCGCCTTGCCAGTAATTAGCTAATGAGCTCCTAGGATGATTACAGGGTGCCAGGGACCCAGATGATGCGGAGGAGGGAGGGTGGCATCAGGAGGCTCCGGCAGGGGACTCGGGGGAGAGGGAGGGCCAGGCGGCGCTGTCTCTTAGGGAGCCCACCGTTCTGGATGGTAGCCTCAGAGGTTTCGGGCAGGGCAGGGAGCCCCAGCTGGGGGCCCCTGGGAGGTTGGAAGCTGTGTGACTCCTGGTTCCTTCGGACACCTGTCTTCCCTCTTCCCTGCTCCCCATCCCTGCAGCAAATCATGAAAGACAAATGGATCAACATCGGCTATGAGGGTGAGGAGTTGAAGCCATACACGGAGCCTGAGGAGGACTTCGGAGACACCAAGAGAATCGGTGAGGGTCAGGGAGCGCCATCGTATCACTCAGGATGGAATGCAGCGTGACGCGATGCACCCTGGCTCACTGCAGCCTCCGCCTCCCGCGTTCAAGAGATGCTTGTGCCTCAGCCTCCCAGGTAGCTGGGACCATAGGCGCCCGCCACCATGCTTGGCTAATTTTTGTATTTTTAGTAGAGACACAGTTTCACCATGTTGGCCAGGCTGGTCTCAAACTCCTGACCTCAGGTGATCCGCCCAACTGAGTCTCCCAGAGTGCTGGGATCCCAGGCGTGAGCCGGTGCACCCGGCCCGTGTTCACTCCGGTATTAAGGCAAAGAGAGAACAGGTGAGGTGGCTCACGCCTGTAATCCCAGCACTTTGGGAGGCCGAGGTAGAAGCAGCACTTGGGCCCAGGAGTTGGAGACCAGCCTGAGCAACACAGGGAGACCCTATCTGTACAAAAGAAGGAAAATAAAAAATTAGCCGGGCGCGGTGGCTCAAGCCTGTAATCCCAGCACTTTGGGAGGCCGAGGCGGGTGGATCACGAGATCAAGAGATCGAGACCATCCTGGTCAACATGGTGAAACCCCGTCTCTACTAAAGATACAAAAAATTAGCTGGGCATGGTGGCACGTGCCTGTAATCCCAGCTACTCAGGAGGCTGAGGCAGGAGAATTGCCTGAACCCGGGAGGCGGAGGTTGCGGTGAGCCGAGATCGCGCCATTGCACTCCAGTCTGGGTAACAAGAGCGAAACTCTGTCTCAAAAAAAAAAAGAAAAGAAAAGAAAAGAAAAAATTAGCCAGGCATGGTGGTACGCACCTATAGTCTCAGCTACTCGGGAGGCTGAAGTAGGGAGATTGCTCGAGCCCAGGAGTTTGAGGCTGCAGTGAGCTATGATCATGCCACTGCATTCCAGGCGACAGGGCAAGACCCTGTCTCAAAGAAAGAAAAACGGGCCAGGCGCGGTGGCTCATGTCTATAATCCCAGCACTTTGGGAGGCTGAGGTGGGCGGATCACCTGAGGTCTGGAGTTCGAGACCAACCTGGCCCACGTGATGAAACCTCTTCTCTACTAAGAATACAAAAGTTAGACGGGTGCAGTGGCAGGCACCCGTAATCGCAGCTCCTCAGGAGGCTGAGGCACGAGAATTGTTTGAATCTGGGAGGCGGAGGTTGTAGTGAACTGAGATCGTGCCACTGCACTCCACCCTGGGCGACAAGAGCGGAATTGCATCTAAAAAAAAAAAAAGTAATTACAGTTTTTGCCATTAAACAAATGGCAAAAACCACAAATACTTTTGCACCAACCTAATTATATTAATAGGTTGAAAATAACGAAAAGTTGAACCATGGGACATTGCCCTTTTATTGTTTAAAAATCATCAGTACCACCAATTTTGTATGGTTTAACCTAATAGTGAGAATTCATTCGGTCACATAACTAAACTAAATAGAGTTGGCGGCCTTCAGGCACAGTTGGATCCAGGTGCTCAGAGACAGTTGTTGGGAATGTTTTCTGTGGTAGCTTTTTCCTGTGCTGCTCTCACCCCAGAAGGCAAGCAGATCTGGGTCACATGCCTGCCCTGAACCAGTCAGTGTGGCTTTGGGTGTAGAATGCACTAATGAGCTGGACTTAGGTTATCAGCCTGCCTTAGGGTTGGAGCAGGGGAGCCATCCACATGATCTGAGCAGGCAGAGAATGTTCTTTCAAAGGAAATCAATGTGCTGTTGGGAAGGGAGGATGGGTACAGGACAGATCAGAGAGCAGACGTCACTGAAAGTCGCAGAAATGAGTGCAAGTGGGGCAGGGCACAGCGGCTCCCAGCACTTTGGGAGGCTGAGGCGGGTGGATCACCAAGGTCGGGAGTTCAAGACCAGCCTGACCAACATGGAGAAACCCTGTCTCTACTAAAAAGACAGAATTAGCCGGGCATAGTGGTGCATGCTTGTAATCCCAGCTACTTGAGAGGCTGAGGCAGGAGAATCACTTGAACCCAGGAGGCGGAGGTTGTGGTGAGCCAAGAGCGTGCCATTGCACTCCAGCCTGGGCAACAAGAGCGAAACTCCAGCCTGGGCAACAAGAGCGAAACTCCGTCTCAAAAAAAAAAAAAAAAAACCAAAGAAACGGGTGGTTAAAGTCCTGGGTAGTTAAAGTTCTGGGAGTCTGAAACTTCTCTCCATCCCCCCTCCCAGAGGTGATGGTGGGTATGGGCTACACACGGGAAGAAATCAAAGAGGCCTTGACCAGCCAGAAGTACAACGAAGTGACCGCCACCTACCTCCTGCTGGGCAGGAAGACTGAGGTCAGAGGGCACCGGGGCCCTTGGGAATGCGGGATGCCTGGGAGGAGGGATTTGGGGGGCACAGGGGACAGGCTGCAGAAGAGCCTCATCTTTCATCCTCTCACAGGAGGGTGGGGACCGGGGTGCCCCAGGGCTGGCCCTGGCACGGGTGCGGGCGCCCAGCGACACCACCAACGGAACAAGTTCCAGCAAAGGCACCAGCCACAGCAAAGGGCAGCGGAGTTCCTCTTCCACCTACCATCGGCAGCGCAGGCATAGCGACTTCTGTAAGTACCAGGCCCTCGCCCTCACGTGCCCTCCTCCTCCCCAAGGCCCAGACTGGCAGTTATGTCAGGGTTCTCTGATTGGCAAGCAACAGAAACCCACTGGAGCTAACTGCAGAGAGGGAGGAACGTCTTCTGAAGACATGGGGCATTGCACGGAACTCGGAGGCAGAAAGGCACAGCCAGGCTCAGGAAGGGATTAAAACTGGAAAAGCAGGCCAGGTGTGGTGGCTCACACCTGTAATCCCAGCGCTTTGGGAGGCTGACGCGGGCGAATCACGAAGTCAGGAGTTCGAGACCAGCCTGGCCGATATGGTGAAACCCTGTCTCTACTAAAAATATACGTAATTAGCTGGGCATGGTGGTGTGTACCTATAATCCCAGCTGCTCGGGAGGCTGAGGCAGGAGAATTACTTGAACCCGGGAGGCGGAGGTTGCGGTGAGCCAAGATCATGCCACTACACTCCAGTCTGGGTGACAGAGCAAGACTCTGTCTCAAAAAACAAACAAAACTGGAAAAGCAGCCAGACCCAACACAAATACTCTCTGTCCTGCTTCCTCTCTGCTTGTGTGGTTTTTCCTTTGCCTCTTACTTATTTCGTCCTATCTTTCTCCTGATCCCTCAGCTCCCCGATTTTTTTTTTTTTTTTTTTTTTTGAGCCAGAGTCTCACTCTGTCATCCAGGCTAGAATGCAGTGGGGCGATCTCGGCTCACTGCAACCTCAGCCTCCTGAGTAGCTAGGCTCACAGGTGCCCACCACCGTGCCTGGCTAATTTTTAGATTTTTAGCAGAGATGGAGTTTCACCATGTTGGCCAGGTTGTTTTTGAACTCCTGACCTCATGATCTGCCCGACTAAGCCTCCCAAAGTGCTTGATGACAGGCGTGAGCTACTGCACCCGGCTCCTGATTTCTTTTCTTTTTTTTTTTTTTTTTTTGAGATGGAGTTTCGCTCTTGTTACCCAGGCTGGAGTGCAATGGCGCGATCTCGGCTCACCACAACCTCCGCCTCCTGGGTTCAGGCAATTCTCCTGCCTCAGCCTCCTGAGTAGCTGGGATTACAGGCACGCGCCACCATGCCCAGCTAATATTTTTTGGTATTTTTAGTAGAGACGGGGTTTCACCATGTTGACCAGGATGGCCTCGATCTCTTGACCTCGTGATCCACCCGCCTCGGTTTCCCAAAGTGCTGGGATTACAGGCTTCTGATTTCTTACCTTAGAGACCAATCCAAATGGTAGCTGGAATCTCTTTGGTCCAGGATGGGGTTCTGATATCAGAGTCCAGTTTGAATTAATCCACTGTAATTGGGGCACAGGAGGACACATTGTGCAAAGTGGCTGCTGAGAGCTTGCCCTCTGGCTTCACCTCCACACTGAAGTGAGGGAGGCTTTTCCTAGTGGAAGGGGGCTGGGCAGACAACTGATGATACCCCACATTCTGCAGTTGACAGACATCTCATCTAATGCAGAAAATGAATACAGAGTCTGAGTTTAAATCTGGGCCAGGTGCCGTGGCTCCCGACTATAATCCTAGCATTTTGGGAGGCTGAGGCGGGTGGATCACCTGAGACTGGGAGTTTGAAACCAGCCTGGCTAACATGGTGAAACCCTGTCTCTACTAAAAATGCAAAAATTATCCTGGCGTGGTGACATGTGCCTGTAATCCCAGCTACTCGGGATACGGAGGCAGGAGAATTGCTTGAACCTGAGAGGCAGAGGTTGCAGTGAGCTGAGATCGCACCATTGCTCTCTGGCCTGGCCAACAGAGAGACCCTGTCTCAAAAAAATTTAAAAAAGAAAATGAATACACACCCATCGGCACCCATTAGGCATGGGAATTTCCGAGAGGTCTCTTAACCCATACACTCATCAAATTTTAAACCTCTCTGATATATTTTTAAAAGCTTTATAAAAGTTAAAATTTAGGCCAGGCGCGGTGGCTCAAGCCTATAATCCCAGCACTTTGGGAGGCCGAGGCGGGTGGATCACGAGGTCAAGAGATCGAGACCATTCTGTTCAACATGGTGAAACCCCGTCTCTACTAAAGACACAAAAATTAGCCAAGCGTGGTGGCATGTGCCTATAATTCTAGCTACTCAGGAGGCTGAGGCAGGAGAATCACTTGAACCCGGAGGCAGAGGTTGCAGTGAGTCAAGATCTTGCCACTCTACTCCAACCTTGGCAACAAAAGTGAGACTTCTCAAAAAAAAAAAAAAAAAAGAAAGAAAAATCAACTGTCCGGGCGCCATGGCTTACGCCTGTAGTCCCAGCACTTTGGGAGGCCCAGCTGGGTGGATCACCTGAGGTCAGTAGTTCAAGACCAGCCTGGCCAACTCTGATGAAACCCCATCTCTACTAAAAATACAAAAATTAGGCTGGGCGAGGTGGCTCACTCCTATGATCCCAGCACTTTGGGAGGCCAAGGTGGGAGGATCACTGGAGTTCAGAAGTTCGAGACTAGCCTGGGCAACATGTCGAAATCCTGTCTCTACAAAAAAAAAAAAAAAGCTGGGCATGGTAGTGTGTATCTGTAGTTTCGGTTACTTGGGAGGCTGAAGTGGGAGGATGGTTTGAGTCTAGGACGCAGAGGTTGTAGCAAGCCGAGATCACGCCGCTGCACTTCAGCTTGGGCAACAGAGTAAGATCCTGTCTCAAAAAAAAAAAAGAAGGAAAATAAAGATGTATAAAAACAGTGAGTATATTCTCCCCTTTTGAAACAAAGTCCTTTGGAGAGATTAATCTATAAGCAAATAGATACATGTGGAAATACATAGATACACACTTTTTGCTTCTGGAGACAAGTGAGAACACATTGTTGACCCACCACCTGTCCTGCCTTTTCCACTTCACATCTATCGTGAAGGTCATTCTGTATTGGTGCATAAACTGCTTCCTTATTCTTTTGTATAGCTGTGTAATTTTTCATTGTGGAAATACTTACATAGTTATTCTGCTCCTAAGGGACATTTAGGCTGTTCCCAGTCTAATGGTACAGGCTGGACATGGTGGCAGACACCTGTAATTCCAGTTACTTGGGAGGCTGAGGCAGGAGAATCGCTTGAGCCCGGGAGGCGGAGGTTGCAGTGAGCAGAGATTGCGCCACCGCACTCCAGTCTGGGTGACAGAGCCAGACTGCATCTCAAAAAAAAAAAAAAAAAAAAAAGCTGGGCGCGGTGGCTCAAGCCTGTAATCCCAGCACTTTGGGAGGCTGAGGCGGGTGGATCACGAGGTCAAGAGATCGAGACCATCCTGGTCAACATGGTGAAACCCCGTCTCTACTAAAAATACAAAAAATTAGCCGGGCATGGTGGCGCGTGCCTGTAATCCCAGCTACTCAGGAGGCTGAGGCAGGAGAATTGCCTGAACCCAGGAGGCGGAGGTTGTGGTGAGCCGAGATCGCGCCATTGCACTCCAGCCTGGGTAACAAGAGTGAAACTCCGTCTCAAAAAAAAAAAAAAAAAGTGCAATGAATGGCCTGTATGTGCATGATGTCACTGATTTGGAGTTTCTGGGTCGGTCTAGGTACGTTGGTCATTTTGACAGATATTGTCAGAATGGCCCACACAGAGATTGCAGCCCACGTGAGGAATTCTCAGGTTCCAACGATCCCCAGCGTCAGTTCTGGGCGGTGATGCCAGCTCTAACCGGTGCCCCCTCCCCCAGGTGGCCCATCCCCTGCACCCCTGCACCCCAAACGCAGCCCGACGAGCACGGGGGAGGCGGAACTGAAGGAGGAGCGGCTGCCAGGCCGGAAGGCGAGCTGCAGTGCCGTGGGGAGCGGGAGTCGAGGGCTGCCCCCCTCCAGCCCCATGGTCAGCAGCGCCCACAACCCCAACAAGGCAGAGATCCCAGAGCGGCGGAAGGACAGCACGAGCACCCCCGTGAGTGACCAGGGCTGGGGGGCAGGGCTAGAGGCGCCGCCACCTGTGGCCAGCCTGCCAACACCACCAGGGGCACATTCCTCAGGCCCCGCCTTCATCTGGATCCCCAGACGGAACTCCTTCCTACCAACTCCTTATACCCGTTCATTCATTCAGCAAACATCTATGGAGTGCTTCTGTTTGAGCTCAGTTTATACACTAATACTGAACTGTTAGTGTATAAATTAGTGTTCTGTCGGGGCTTGGTGGTTCACGCCTGTAATCCCCGCACTTTGGGAGGCTGAAGCGGGCGAATCACTTGAGGTCAGGAGTTCGAGACGAGCCAGGCCAACACGGTGAAACCCCGTCTCTACTAAAAATACAAAAATTAGCCGGGCGTGGTGACAGGCACCTGTAATCCCAGCTACCCAGAAGGCTGACACAGGAGAATTGCTTGGAACCCAGATAACAGAGTTTGCAGTGAGCCAAGACCACACCATTGCACCCCAGCCTGGGCAACAGGGCAAGACTCTGTCTTTAAAAAAAAAAAAAAAATAGTGTTCTGTGTTAAGTGCAAAAGGTACTCTTGGCAGAAAGAATTTAATACAGAAAATTAAGTGCTTTTAAAAGTGTGGGAAGGATGGGGCATGGTGGCTCATGCTTGTAATCCTGGCACTTTGGGAGGCCGAGGCAGGAGGATCCCTTGAGGCCAGGAGTTTAAGACCAGCCTGGGCAGCATAGCAAGACCCCATCTGTACTGAAAATCAAAAAAATTAGCCAGGCATTGTGGTGTATGCCTGTGGTCCCAGCTACTTAAAAGACTCAGGTGGGCGAATCACTTGATCCTGGGAGGCTGAGGCTACAGGGAGCTGTGATCCCACCACTGCGCTCTAGCCTAGGTGACAGAGCAAAACCTGGTTACAGTGAGTCAATAAATAAAATAATAGTGATTTTAAAAATCAGGCCGGGCATGGTGGCTCATGCCTGTGATCCCAGCACTTTGGGAGGCCGAGGCGGGTGGATCACAAGATCAGGAGATCGAGACCATCCTGGCCAATATGGTGAAACCCCGTCTCTCCTAAAAAATATAAAAAATTAACCGGGCGTGGTGGCGTGTGCCTGTAATTCCAGCTACTCAGGAGGCTGAGGTAGGAGAATTGCTTGAACCTGGGAGGCAGAGGTTGCAGTGAGCCAAGATCGTGCCATTACACTCCAGCCTGGGCAACAACAGTAAAACTCTATCTCAAAAAAAAAAGAATGAAAAGATTAATAAAATCAAATGGACCCCTGGTAAAATCAGTTAAGGGAAAAAGACGGCAGACGTGAATCACCAGTCTCCAAAATGAAAAGGGGAACTTTGTTCTAACATTGAAAGACAGTAAGATGATATTCGGAACTACTTTATGCCAATAAATTTAACAGCTTAGATGAAACGGACACATTACATACACAGTGTATCAAAACTGACACAAGAAGAAATAGAAAACCTGAACAGTCTTACATTCTTACTAAAGAAATTGAATTCATAACTGAAAACCTTCCCCATAAAGAAAATTTCTGGCTCGGATGGCTCCCACCAGTGGAATTCTTCCGGACACTTAAAGAATAAATAATACTAACCTTAGACAAACTTCCAGAGAATAGAAAAAGAGGGATCTCTTCCTAACATGTTTATGAGGCAGCATAATCCTGATACTCCCTGTGTTCCCAGAGCTCACAGCTCAGTTATGGGATGGGGACATATATGAAAACCGACACAATGCAGTGATTCAAGCTGTAGTGGGAAGCCCAGGGGGGCTGTGGGAGCCCAAAGGAGGCACGTGACTCAGCCTGGGGCTGGGGGTGGTAGTAGATTATGAACTGACACCTGAAAGATATGTAGGAGTGAGTCAGGGGAAAAGGTGGGAGGAATGTTCTAACAGGTGAGGCAGCCAGTGCAAAGGCTAGGCACAGTGACAGAACGTGGCATGAATAAGCACACTAGCAAACGTTTAGTGTGGCTGGGCTGGACCTCAAGAAGGCAGGCATTGCCGGGAGAAGAGTGGTGGATGAGGATGCCCCCTGGAAACCTTCCCTGCCTCGTTTTCGCTCGGTGTCCCCCTCTTCTCTGAGCTCCAGGGGTCTCCCTTGGCTCAGCCTAGGTGGCTGAGATCACTCATGAACCTTTCACATCTTGGGGACCTTTCAACTATCTCCTACTCACCCTCGGTTCCCACACGGGCCCTTGACTCATTCATTACTGGTGTGGGCAGAGAGGGGAGGAGGAAGGAACTCAGGGGCGTGTCTTCACCCCCTCACTCCCTTCCCGGCCGTGTCTCCTGCAGAACAACCTCCCTCCCAGCATGATGACCCGCAGAAACACCTACGTTTGCACAGAACGCCCGGGGACTGAGCGCCCGTCACTGTTGCCAAATGGGAAAGAAAACAGGTATGGAGTGGGCAGCACCGGGGTAGGGGGTGGGAAGTAGGGGGTAGATGAGCAGGACCTCCCTTGATCTGAGATGGTAAGCTTTGGAGGCTGGTGCCGTGGGGACCAGAGAGTGAGCGTGTCTGCCCTGCCCTTGGCAGAATCGGCCCAAGTACCCCCCGAAAGTCATCCCCACTTAATTAATTAGTTGTCAGCACCAGGAAAGCAGTCGGCCCTGTTCTCTGCCTACGAGCCTTGGGAACCTGAACGATCCATTTTTAGAACTCAAGAGAAGCCCCAGAATGTCACAGCTTCAGGAGCATCTGGTTGGCTGGTTTTGCAGCTTGCTGGCCTGCGTCTGTGAGATCTCTTCCAGCTGGCAAGGGAAGGAAACCAGACTGGTTGGAGCAGAGGCAGGGAAGGGATTAGTTCCCATCACAGGTCAAGGCCAGCCAGAGTAGGGCTGGCTCCAGGTCAAGGACACTGCCGCCCACCAGGACTGCAGGGCAGGGTGATGGGGACGCTGGGGCACACTCTGGGATGCACTGATGAGGGCTGCCCTTGTTCTCATTGGGTGTGGGCAGGGGAATGGGGTAGTTAACAGTCAACGATTCTGTGAATACTCACTTCTGAGTTCGAAGCTTACCTCTGTGCTCACACTGCTAACAGAATGACTTTGGGCAAATCTCGGAGCCTCTGTTTTCGCTTCCATAAAATGGGCTTGATGCTGGCCGGGCATGGTGATTCACGCCTGTAATCCCAGCACTTTGGGAGGCCAAGGCAGATCACCTGAGGTCAAGAGTTAGAGACCAGCCTAGCCAACATGGTGAAACCCCGTTTCTGCTAAAAATACAAAAATTAGCCAGGAGTGGTGTTGTACACCTGTAATCCCAACTACTTGGAAGGCTGAGTGAGGCAAGAGAATTGCTTGAATCTGGGAGGCAGAGGTTGCCATGAACTGAGATTGCACCACCGCACTCCAACCTTGGCGACACAGTGAGACTCCGACTCAAAAAAAAAAAAAAAAGTTCACTTCTAGTCCCCATTATAGGAATCCAGTAGAGATCAGGTGTGTCCTGAACCTGGCACTGGGTCTGATGCGCTTAGGAGGCCTTCACTCAGTGGCTGAGAGTGCTTTTTTTTGGGTAGTTATCAAATAAAAATAATAGTGAACATTCATGAAGCAGCAGCCACCTGCCAGGCTTCTATGTATATTGCCTGGCTCAATGCCCCTAACAACTCTGTGAGGTAGATCCTAGTATCTCCAATTTTTAGCAGCTGAGGACATGAGGCACAGAGAGGTTAAGTAACTTGTCCAAGGCTGCACAGCTGGTAAGTCAAGAAGCAGATTCCAGACTGACTCCAGAATCTATTCTTAATCACCGTAATATGTGGCCTTCCAGTTCTTTTCAAGAGACAGTGGAACAGTTAAATTACAGACTCAGACCAAAAAAAAAAAAAAAAAAATTAAAAAGCTTTTAAAATACAAAAGCAAAACTTACAGACTCAGCTGCTATAATAAAAGAAATCCCAGGGTAGAGTAAATAAGCGGGAGGTTTAGTCTGGATGGCCCTCCCAGGACCCAGGTAAGTTCTTCCAGCCTCAACATGGGACTCCAGCTGTGGGACTGAGACCATTGCACCAGCTGCCATCATTTCCCCATCGGCAAGAAGTGGGGAAAGTGTAATAGAGGACAGGCAGCAACTGTTTTTAAAGGTGTGGCCCACCTGCAATCCTAGCACTTTGGGAGGCCAAGGCAGGTGGATCACAAGGTCAGGAGTTTGAGACCAGCCTGACCAACGTGGAGAAATCCCATCTACTAAAAAATGCAAAAATTAGCCAGGCGCAGCGGAGGCGTGACCCATAGGTGGTACAGAGCACTTCTGCTTATATCCCATTGGCCAGAATGTGGTCACATGACTATCCCTAGCTGCAAGGGTGTCTGGGAAGTGTAGTCTGGCTGGGTGGCCATGTGCAGTGCTCTAGGGGTTTGGTACCAAGAGCAAAACAGGGAGGATGGATTCTAGGGATTAAGTAGCGACCTTGCCGGGCGCGGTGGCTCAGGCCTGTAATCCCAGCACTTTGGGAGGCCGAGGCGGGCAGATCACAAAGTCAGGAGATCTAGGCTATCCTGGCTAACACGGTGAAACCCCATCTCTACTGAAAAAAAAAAAAAAAAAGCCGGGCGCGGTGGCTCAAGCCTGTAATCCCAGCACTTTGGGAGGCCGAGGCGGGTGGATCACGAGGTCAAGAGATCGAGACCATCCTGGTCAACACGGTGAAACCCCGTCTCTACTAAAAATACAAAAAATTAGCTGGGCATGGTGGTGCGCGCCTGTAATCCCAGCTACTCAGGAGGCTGAGGCAGGAGAATTGCCTGAACCCGGGAGGCGGAGGTTGCGGTGAGCCGAGATCGCGCCATTGCACTCCAGCCTGGGTAACAAGAGCGAAACTCCGTCTCAAAAAAAAAAAAAAAAAAAAAAAGGATTAGTCAGGCATGGTGGCACATGCCTGTAATCCCAGCTACTCGGGAGGCTGAGGCAGGAGAATCACTTGAACTCAGGAGGCGGAGACTGCAGTGGGCCGAAATCGCGCCATTGCACTCCAGCCTGGGAGATAAAGTGAGACTCCGTCTCAAAAAATAACAAAACAAAGAAAGTAGCGGCCTCTGCCACAGTCAGGATTCTTCTCTGAGATCCAGGCTGGCCTAAAGTCCCTGGGAGGATACAAATTGGAGGTCCGGCCTGAGTGCAGTGGCTCACTCCTGGAATCCCAAGTTTGGAAGGCCAAGGTGGGTGGATCACCTGAGGTCAGGAGTGGGAGACCAGCCTGGCCAACGTGGTGAAACCCCATCTCTACTAAAAATACAAAAATTAGCCCGACATGGTAGTGCATGCCTGTAGTCCCAGCTACTCAGGAGGCTGAGGCAGGAGAATCCCCTGAACCCAGGAGGCGAAGGTTGCAGTGAGCCAAGATCACCCCATGGCAATTCAGCCTAGACAGAGTGAGACTCCTTCTCCAAAAAAAATTAGCCAGGCACAGTGGCTCACGCTTGTAATCCCGGCTACTCAGGAGGCTGAGGCAGGAGAATTGAAGTGGAAAGATGGAGGTCTGATCCCTGTTGTTGACTGGGAGAGTCTGAGGGGCTGGAGGAGGGTCCTGGGACAGTGGGACTCCCACTGTCCAAATTATCATAGTGCATACAGGTATCTGTGGCCTTTACAGCTGTCCCTTTCCCGATTTTAGATAATGGGAGTTCAGATAGCTAAGTGTTCTGGTTCCTGAAGTTTCAGTGACAAAAACCAAGAAGTCACCCCAAAATGTCTGCGAATCTATTCGGTTGCTGCGTTTGAAGAGAGGAGAGTTGTAATGGGGATGGTTTGGAGGGAGTAGAATTTGAAGAAGGGACAGTTTGAAGGAGGGGTTATAGGAGAGGAGAGCGTCATAAAATAATGCTAGGATTGTATAGTACGCAGCCTGCACAACTGTACATGGCAGCCCTTCTCTGAGTTCCTTGCTGGTTGCAGTCCCTGGTCTCGAGACAGGAATGTGAAGAATCAGAGGGACTAGGGCGCTGGCCTGCCTCAGGCCCCCACCCTGACTTGTCTCTCTACCCACAGCTCAGGCACCCCACGGGTGCCCCCTGCCTCCCCCTCCAGTCACAGCCTGGCACCCCCATCAGGGGAGCGGAGCCGCCTGGCACGCGGCTCCACCATCCGCAGCACCTTCCACGGTGGCCAGGTCCGGGACCGGCGGGCAGCGGGTGGGAGTGGTGGGGGTGTGCAGAATGGGCCCCCCGCCTCTCCCACGCTGGCCCACGAGGCTGCACCCCTGCCCGCCGGGCGGCCCCGCCCCACCACCAACCTCTTCACCAAGCTGACCTCCAAACTGACCCGAAGGTGAGCTCCGCGGGGGTGGCAGGGGCGGGGCAGGGCCAGGGGCTGATGGGACCTAACCTGTCTTCTACTCCGCTCTGTCTCCTGTGCTCCAACGTTTTCTCCTCCTCTTCCTCCTTTCCTCCTACCCTGTCGCCCCTCGCCTCCCTCCTCACACTGCAGGGTTACCCTCGATCCCTCTAAACGGCAGAACTCTAACCGCTGTGTTTCGGGCGCCTCTCTGCCCCAGGGATCCAAGATCAGTAAGTCCCGTCCATGCCCTGTTCTCGCTGGCTCTGCCTTCCTGTCTGCATGTCTGGCCCGTCTGCGGGCATCGGGGAGGGGGCTCTGTGGATGTGAGCAGGGTACAGGGTCTGTATGTGGGGTCTGGTGGTTCGTTTAGTCACGGAAGCACAGCTTCTGGAGCCAGACTCGGGTTCAAATGGCAGCTCTGCCAAGTGTCCTTAAGCCAGTCACTCAAGGTATCTGGGCCTCACTTTTCTCTTCTGTAAAATGGGTGTAGTAATAACAGTACCTGCCTCCTAGGGTTATTGTGAGGACTAAATGAGGTGATGGACTTAGAACTCAGAACATTGCTTTGGAAAGTGCTTTACCTGTGTATAAATGGACTGAGCTTAGAACTTTGCTTTGGAAAGTGCTTTACCTGTGTATAAATAATTGGCTATTTTTATTAATTGCTGTTATTCATTGGGCCCCTACTGTGTGCCTGGCACTGCCCTAGTCCTGTGGTAGAGGGTGAACAAAATGTACAAAACTCCTGCCCTGGCACAGCCAGCATTCTACTAAGGGATCCAGATAAGAAATAAAGAAATATGTAAAATATACTTATTATATAGACTGCTAGATACTGCGAAGTACTAAGAAGAAAAATAGAATAGGAGCCACATTTGGTGGCTCATGCCTGTAATCACAGCCCTTTGGGAGGCTGGGGCAAGTGGGTCACTTGAGCCCATGAGTTCAAGACTAGCCTGGATAGCAAGACCCTGTCTCTACAAAAAAGGAAATAAATTGACCGGGCATGGTGGCTGCACCTGTAGTCCCATGGATGTGGGAGGCTGAGGCAGGAGGATCACTTGAACCCAGGAAGTTGAGGCTGCTGTGAGCTATGATCACACCACTCCAACCTTGGCAACAGAGGTAGACCCTGTCTCTAAAACAAACAAAAAACGTAGACCAGGGAGGGGGATGAGGGGTGTGGGGAAGGGAAGGTGCAGCATTAAATGGGCGGGCCTCCGGCTGAGGTGGCTCTGGCCAGTAATCCCAGCACTTTGGGAAGCCCAGGTGGGCAGACCGCTTGAGTCTAGGAGTTTGAGACCAGCCTGGGCAATATGGCAAAGTCCCACCTCTACAAAAAATACGAACACAACAAAACAAAATTAGCCGATGTGGTGACATGCGCCTGTAGTCCCAGCTACTTCAGGGACCAAGGCAGGAGGATTGCGTGAGCCCAGGAGGTTGAGGCTGCAGTGAGCTGAGATCACAGCGCTCCTGCGTGACAGAGTGAGACCCTGTCTCAAGAAAAGGGAAAAAAAAGGGCAGGTCTCACAGAAGAGGTGTTGGGCAAAGCGTGAATGTGCACGTGAGTGTGTGTGTGCGTGCGCGCGCGTGCGCCTCTCTTGACCACTTCTCTATGTAAGGGTGTGTCTCTGCCCACTCCTCTCTTTCACCCTTCCACGTTCTTCAGTATCTTTCCTGTGACCTGCACTCGCCATTGCAGAATGAACTCCCTTCTAGGGATGAACAGGGAGATGAAATCCTGACTCCGAGCCCTCCCCAGCCCGGAGGGACTGCGGCTGAGGCAGGGGCTGCTCAGAGCCCCAGAGGCAGTGGGTTGGGGGAGGTGGGTTTCTTATGTCCAGATTAGACACTCTGTCCCCCTCCCCTCCCCTAGGGTCGCAGACGAACCTGAGAGAATCGGGGGACCTGAGGTCACAAGGTGAGTGCTTGAGCCTACCCCTGACTGCCACAGCAGCCCTTCCCTTCTCCAGCCTCAGCACCTCCCAACACTTATCCCAGGGCATTAGATGGGGCCCCAGTCTCATCCTACAAGGCCAACTTCCCGAAATTCTCTTTGGCCCCTGCCTTCTCCGCCAGCTCCTCTCACTCCCATGACCATCTTAAACTTCAGCCTCATCCCATCTACAACTCGGCTCTTCCGGTCAATGCCCCCACCTCTTTTTGCCTCTCATCCAATCATGGCAGATGGCTGCCGGCAGCTCTGGGCCAGCAGGAGTCAAACGTTATCTGTACAGACCCGGACCATGAAGATTTTAGGCTTTGAGGGTCAGGCACCCTCTGTCACACCTGTTCGGTTCTCCCATTGTAGTACAAAAGCAGCCATATTCAACTCAAATGAGTATGACTGTGTTCCAATAAAACTTTATTTACAAAAACACACAGCACTAGAGTTTGCCAAGCCCTGGCTTCGTCTCGAGTTCCCAGTTTAGTGCCAGGTGGAAACCCCAGCCTTCCCAGCAGCTGCAACAAACTGCCAGGGCTGACTCTCATTGGCTGGGACTAGGTCACATGTTCATTTCTAAACCAATGCCTGCAGCCAGAGAGGAGAAGTACTCTGATTGGTCAGACCTGGTCATGTGTTCACCTTTGACCCAAGCCCAGTGGCCAGGGGGTAGAATGCTCTTATTGGCAGAACTGAGTCATGTGCTCACCCAGTCTGAGGGGCGGCCTCACTAGAACAAGGGAGACCAGCCCCGGGTTGCTCATCTAGAGCTGCACTGTCCTGCTTCAGGCCAGATGTTTCTTTGTTGTGCAGGGCCCTCTGGCACATTGGAGAACGTTTCTCATCCTTGACCTGCCCCATCCTCAACCTAATCAATACCAGGCGTGCTCCCATCCTAAGACATGTGACAATCAAAAAGCCCAGAGAGACCAGGCACAGTGGCTCACGCCTGTAATTCCAACAACTCAGGAGGCCAAGGCAGGAGAATCACTTGAACTCAGGAAGTGGAGGCTACAGTGAGCCGTGATTGCACCACTGCACTCCTGCCTGGGGAACACAGCAATACCTTGGCTCAAAAAACATTTTAAAGTGGCCTGGCGGTGTGGCTCACGCCTGTAATCCCAGCACTTTGGGAGGGCCAAGGCAAGCAGATCACTTGAGGTCAGGAGTTCAAGACCAGCCTGGCCAGCATGGTGAAGCCCCGTCTCTGCTAAAAATACAAACATTAGCTGGGCGTGGTCCCAGCTACTTAGGAGGCTGAGGCAGGAGAATTGCTTGAACCTGGGAGGCAGAGGTTGCAGTGAGCCGAGATTGTGCCATTGCACTCCGGCCTGGGAGACAAGAACAAAAGTGTCTCAAAACAAACAAACAAACAAAAAAACAACACTAGGCTCTGTGGCTCATGCCTGTAATCCCGGCACTTTGGGAGGCCGAGGCAGGTGGATCACCCGAGGTCAGGAGTTCAAGACCAGGCTGATCAACTTGGTAAAACCCTGTCTCTACTAAAAATACAAAAAAAAAAAAATTATCTGCCTGTGGTGTGGTGGCATGCACCTGTAATCCCAGCTACTTGGGAGGCTGAGGCGGTAAGATCACTTGAGTCCAGGAGGTCAAGACCAGCCTGGACAACATGATGAAACCCTATCTCTACAAAAAAACAAAAAACTAACAACTACCTGGGCATGGTGGCATGTGCCTGTAGTCCCAGCTACTAAGGAGGCCGAGGCAGGAGGATCACTCAAGGCCAGGAGTTCAATGCTGCAGTGAACTGTGATCCTGCTTAGTGACAGGGTGAGATCCTGTCTCAAAACAAGAAATTTCTGCCGGGCGCGCTGGCTCATGCCTATAATCCCAGCACTTTGGGAGGCCGAGGCGGGTGGATCACGAGGTCAGTAGATCGAGACCATCCTGGCCAACATGGTGAAACCCCGTCTCTACTAAAAATACAAAAAATTACCTGGGCATGGTGGCGCACACCTGGAATCCCAGCGTAGGGACTGAGGCAGGAGAATTGCTAGAACCCAGGAGTCTGAGATCACGCCACTGCACTCCAGCCTGGGCTTCAGAGCAAGAATTCATCTCAAAAAAAAAAAAAAAAAAAAAAAAAAAATTCTCATTCAAACATGTGGCCAAGCTTCTGTGCAGTCATTCAGGTCCACAGGTTCTTCCATCCCCATCGCCTGGAGCCCTCATGTCATCTTCACAGTTGAGGCTGGTCTGTGCCACTGCCAAGTCCAGCTCCTGGGGGATGTGGGACAGGAGAGCCTGGCGCGTGCCGGGCCTTTGAGGACCGGTGTAGATTCCACACCTCACTTCTGCTTATGTGCCGGAATTTAGAGACAAGTCACACCCGGCCTCACGGGAGGCTGGAAAGTGTGGTCTCTAGCTGGACAGCTCTGTGTCCAGCTGAAACTGTCAGTGGGGTAAGAGGGGAGGATTTTTTTTTTTTTTTTTTTTTGAGGGGATGGCTAGGAATCTGTCCCAAAGTGGGAAGAATTGTCCCTTGAGCCCTCCACCCATTTCACTTCCTTCTCTGACCCCTGATATCTTCTCGCTTCAGTTGCCATCTACCTTGGGATCAAACGGAAACCGCCCCCCGGCTGCTCCGATTCCCCTGGAGTGTGAAGCTGACCAGCTCTCGCCCTCCCGAGGCCCTGATGGCAGCTCTGCGCCAGGCCACAGCAGCCGCCCGCTGCCGCTGCCGCCAGCCACAGCCGTTCCTGCTGGCCTGCCTGCACGGGGGTGCGGGCGGGCCTGAGCCCCTGTCCCACTTCGAAGTGGAGGTCTGCCAGCTGCCCCGGCCAGGCTTGCGGGGAGTTCTCTTCCGCCGTGTGGCGGGCACCGCCCTGGCCTTCCGCACCCTCGTCACCCGCATCTCCAACGACCTCGAGCTCTGAGCCACCACAGCCCCGGGCCCCTTCCTCTTCCTCTCCCTTGTCCCCTACACTTCTACACGAGGGGAAAGGGCCAGGGAGGGGATTCTTCCTTTGTCATCACCTCAGTTGCCCTGAATTAGATTTGGGGGCAAAGACTGTCCCCTCTGCTGTTCTCTGGGGCCGCTCAGCACAGAAGGAGGATGGGGGGGCTCAGCGGGGGGAGCTGGCACCTTCCTGGAGCCTCCAGCCAGTCCTGTCCCCCCTCACCCTGCCAAGGGGGCACCTGAGGAGACTTTGGGGGCAGGGCAGGGTCAGGGAGGGCAACTGAGGAAACCTTTCATTCCCCCCAACAGCTCAAAATTAGGCCTTGGGCAGGGACAGGGACAGCTGCTGAGCCTAAAGACAAGAATTTGGGGCACTGGGAGTGGGGGTCAGAGAGGCAGTTTCCTTCCCCTCCCCTCCCCTCACACTCAAACCTCCCACCTTTCCTGCCCCAGGCTGGCGCGGGGCACTTTGTACAAATCCTTGTAAATACCCACCCCCTCCCCTCTGCAAAGGTCTCTTGAGGAGCTGCCGCTGTCACCTACGGTTTTTAAGTTATTACGCCCTGACCCTCCTCCTGTCAGCCCCCTCACCTGCAGCCTGTTGCCCAATAAATTTAGGAGAGTCCCCCCCAGTGCTGACCCCAGGGTTTTCCTTCCCTGCCCTCACCGGCAAGTGAGTTGAAGAAGAGGCGTGGGACTCCGGGCAGTGGTTTTTCCTTTCGGAGCCTCGGTTTTCTCATCTGCAGAATGGGAGCGGTGGGGGTGGAAAGGTAAGGATGGTCGTGGAAGAAGGCAGGACAGAACTCAGCCTCATCCCGGAGGCCCCAGTTCCTATATCGGGCCCCCATTCATCCACTCGGCACTCCCGGCTGCCATGTTACACTGGACTCTTAAGCCACTTCTTACTCCGGTAGTAAATTTATTCAATAAACAATCATTGACCTGTGCCTACTCCATGCCAGGCCCAGTGCTGGACACGGAGGCATGAAGCCCTGTCTGTGGGACACATGGGTTCTGACACGGACACTAGACAAACCATTGTCTTGGGAGCCCAGAAGGGAAAGTGGGCGGGATGCGGTCATTGTGTAAGATGTTCTAGAGGGATTAATGCTGGACTAGGTGTTGAAGGATGAGTAGGAGTTGGCTAGGCATTGAGTATGGCCTGGCAAAAGCCCAGAAGTGGGAGTGTGTGGTATATCTTCAGAGAACTGTAAGTAATTTCGGTGTGGCTGCTATGTTGGGCATGGATGCAAAGTTAGCAAGAGAAATGCTGTATTAGGACTAATAATCCGTCTATACTGCTTAAGCAAGCAGGTGTTTGTTGGCTTATGTTACTTAATAATCCAGGGGAACTCAACTTCAGGTATGGTTTGATCCAGGCATCAGGGCATTGTATCTATATGTTTTTCAGTGTAAATTGAATTCTAGTAGTTTTTATCAAGTAAGTTCTTTCCTGATGGCTCAGACGACCTCAGCAGTTAGAAGTTTCTATCCCTCCGGCTTTCTGCAGCAGAAAGATCTTCATTGTCGGTTTCCCAGCGAAAGTCCCAGACTCTCATTGGCTCAGTTGGGCCATGTGATTATCTCTGAACCAATCACTGTGACTCTAGAGTGACCAGACTCAGAGCTGCACTTAGTGGGGGTTTCTCAAAGGAAGGTCACGTGTCTTGAGCAGGCGAAAAGGCCTGGGGGCGGAACAGATTTAAGTGGTTCCGAGCTGTGCAGTACAGAAGGGTGAAACTTACTCACACAGCCCCTTTGGGGCCAAAATGAGGAAGTTGGACTTTCTCCCGAGGCACTGGGGAGCCATGGAAGTTCAGGGAGCCTCAGAAAGGAGGCTTGGTCAGTTCCTGACGGCATCCTTTGTGCTGGGGACACAGCGGTGATCAAGACAGCCCCAACATTGCCGTCATAGAGCTCACAGTCCAAGTAGAGGAGGCAGATGTGTCCTCAGGCACTGACTGGGCGGGGCTGGCCTAGGGAAGTCCAGAGGCGATGCCTGCCTCAGCCAGAGAGGACTTCCTGGAGTAGGAGCCAGCCAGACATGGGTAGGAGCGCATTGTAGACAGAGCAAATGGCACATAGAAGGGCCGGGGGAGCAAGAGAAAGGACAAGTCCTTCAGCAAATGGCATATGACTTGTTAAGTGTAGAGTCGCTGTGACAGATGGGGCTAGGGGCGTCAGCAGGGCCTTGAAGGTTATCGACAGGGGGCTGGGCTCTCTTCCAAGGGCATTTGGCGGGGTGGGGCGGCGGGCATGACAAGGCCATGGCCAGGAGAGAGATTTCGGGTGGTTTGTGCTAGATGCAGGGTGGAAGGAGGGAAACATGAGGTCAGAAGAGCAGGAAAGAGGTTGGGGCTGGACCGATGGGGGAAGCAAGATTAGAGTTGAGAGTCACAGGAGGCTAGTGGGCAGGACGTGGTAACTGACGGGTGTCTGGACTGCGGCTCTGGCTGGCTCAGATGGTCCCCACTGGGGTGTCTGTGGTCTGCGTAACCCCCAGATGTGGAGCTGGGATCTTCAACTGGGGGCAGTACAGTAAAGAACATTCCAGCATCTCACAGGTTATGCATGCCTTGATCTTTGGGGTCTCTTCTAACCTTCCCTTTAGTAATCTCCTTGGGAACTCTTGGGGACATCCCTAGGCCTGTTTCCCCGCTGTAAAACAGAGGGCAGATATATTCAACTGTAAGGGCCCTTACACTTCTGTGACTTGAGATTTGAAAAAGCACCTCTAGGCCGGGCGCGGTGGCTCAAGCCTGTAATCCCAGCACTTTGGGAGGCCGAGGCGGGTGGATCACAAGGTCAAGAGATCGAGACCATCCTGGTCAACATGGTGAAACCCCGTCTCTACGAAAAATACAAAAAAATTAGCTGGGCATGGTGGCGCGTGCCTGTAATCCCAGCTACTCAGGAGGCTGAGGCAGGAGAATTGCCTGAACCCAGGAGGTGGAGGTTGCAGTGAGCCGAGATCACGCCATTGCACTCCAGCCTGGGTAACAAGAGCGAAACTCCGTCTCAAAAAAAAAAAAAAAAAGAAAGAAAAAGCACCTCTTCTAGATTCCTGAAGGCTCTTGTCATGTCTTCCATTTACTCCTGCCTCACTCCCCCTCCCGCCGCCCCCCCCCCACCCCACGACCAAAACCTTTGTTAACAGAGATCTTAACCTGTTTGGCTGGGTGGAGGTGATTGATGTGCCCAACACCCAATGCATGGTCAGATACTGCTTAACTTCTATTACCTCTTCTTCTCCCTCCTTCCTGTCCCTTCCTGGGACTGAGTTCTCCAAAAAGCCTATCCCTGCTTCATGGGGATGCTCAGACTCAACTTCCAGATTGGAGGGGAGACAGCTTGGTCAAAGACACTGAGGTGGGAATTGGAGGATGTAAGATGCGAGTCAGAGGAATCATGGGGAAAGAACTGGAAAGATGCAAACGGTCTGCATTTCAGTGTGGCTTTGAGTTGCAAATAACAGAAAGGCGTTCTAGGAGAAATGGGGAGCCATGGCAGGTTCTTGAGCAAAGTAAGGGATGTTCGGCTTGGCGCAGTGGCTCACGCCTGTAATCCCAACACTTTGGGAGGCCGAGGCAGGTGGATCACGAGGTCAGGAGTTTAAGACCACCCTAGCCAATATGGTGAAACCCCGTCTCTACTAAAAATACAAAAATTAGCTGGGCGCGGTGGCACATGTCTGTAGTCCCAGTTACTCGGGAGGCTGAGGCGGAAGAATCACTTGAACCCGGGAGCAGAGGTTGCAGTGACCCAAGGCTGCACCACTGCACTCCAGCCTGGGTGACAGAGCGAGACTCCATCTCTAAATTAATTAATAAGGGATGTTCAAAAGACTGGCAGCAGCTACAGAGGGATGAAATCAGACTGGTGAGAAGGAGGCTAGTGAGAATCAGGATAGAGGTATATGTGATGAGCTGCATGGGAGGTCTCAAACTGGAGACCCCCTGACTGAATTCAAGCCTCAGACGTTCCTTTGGGCTGCATTCCTCCCCAGCGTGGACCTTGGGATTGAGATCTGAGCATGGCTAATTCAAAGCTAGAGTTGGAAAGGGCCCATGCTTTGGGAGAGTGACCCTGGGCTCAGTGCCTCTCGGGGTCTCAGATCCGTAGAGCCTTCTAATCTCTCTCTCTTTTTTTTTTTTTCTTTTTTTACTTTTCTTCTTCTTTTTTTTTTTGAGACAGAGTTTTGCTCTTGTTGCCCTGGCTCGAGTGCAATGGCATGATCTCAGCTCACCGCAACCTCCACCTCCCGGGTTCAAGCGATTCTCCTGCCTCAGCCTCCCAAATAGCTGGAATTACAGGCGCCCGCCACCATGTCTGGTTAATTTTTGTACTTTTAGTAGAGACAGGGTTTCTCCAAGTTGGTCAGGTTGGTCTTGAACTCCTGACCTAAGGTGATCCGCCCGCCTCGGCCTCCCAAAGTGCTGGGATTACAGGCGTGAGCCCCACCACGCCTGGCCAAGCCTTCTAATTTTTGGACTAGATTCTGTGCCCTAACTTTGCCTCATTTTAGACCTGGGATAAGACATGTTTAGTACATGCCTAGACAGGACAAACCACTCCGAGGCCACAGAGTGGCCAATTACACCTCCTCCCTCAATAACTATCGCACAAAGCTAAGGCCACCATTGCTTTTATTTATTGCTTTGCGTGGAGACAAAGTACGAGCTCCGGATGTGCTGGGAGCGCTCCATTAATTAGAGCTCCTTTTGGGGGCGGAGCTCTAGGAAAAGAAGAGGACCCTGCCAGGGAGATTTTTCATTGGCCAGAACCCAGAGGATGGAGGCCATTGGTTGGAACTCTGGTTGAAACTGGAAGTCTGAGAAGGGTGGAGAGAGCCCCCAGAAGACAGAACCATCATAGGGTGGGATTCCGGGAAAGGGGGCGGGGCAAGGAGTGAGGGGGCGGGCCTCCGGTGGGCCAGGCCCTCCCATTGGCTGGGTTCCAGCAGTCGGTGGCGGGTGGGCAGGGCGTCTACTTCTGGGCGGGGATCATGTCGTCAATGGACTGGCCTTTCTCCAGCTTCTTCTCCATCTCCACCATGAGCTTCACACCATCCACAACCAGCTGCACTTGTTCTACTTCGGACGAGCCCAGCCGATCAGCGTTGGACACGTCGAATACTGAGCCCACGGCAGCTGTGTCCACGCCACCTGTGGGAGCAAGGGACAGGGGCATGAGGAGACAGCGAAGGTTGCAGAGGGACTGGGACATGGTGGTCCCCGTGCCAAATGCAACAGCTGCATGTGTTGAGTGGCTACTGTGTAACAGATTACCAGCACACAGGTAATGCCTGTCTAGTCGTGGGCTTATGAATCTCTGGATTAGATAAGGTAACACACCACTCAATTATCCAACATGAAAATATAGTATAGTGGATAAGAGAGTGGGTTCCAGAGCCGGGCGGCCTGGGATCGAATCCTGACCCCTCCTCACTTTATAAATGGGGAAACTGAGGCCTCGAGAGGTGCAAGGCATATGCAATGCATATGATATAATCATGAAAATTTCTCATTCACTCCTAAGACATGGGCTTGTTGATGCCCATTTTACGAGGAAGAAATGCAGGCTCACAGACGGTCAGCCCTTGCTGGATACCCAGAACTCATGAGGCTGTCCAGCCTCCCTTTCCACTCTCGCAAAGGACCCGCCCCACCGGTCGTGGTGCGGGGCATGTGGGAGTCGCACCTGTGCCCCTCTTCTGCAGGCGCAGGCGGGTGAGGATTTCCTCGAACTTGGGGTGCTTGCTCAGGTGCGCCAGCTTCACATGCACGCCTCCACGCAGCCCGGTGCCCAAGTTGGATGGGCAGGTGAGCACGTAGCCCAGGTGCTGGTTCCACATGAAGGGGTGGCCGGCTTTCTTAAAGATCTCCTCGATCTGAGGTTGGGGGAGAGGACCAGGGATCAGTGCCAGCAGGCACCTCCAAATGCACCCG